TCCTCCTGATCCTCCCTGCCCCTGGTAACCACTGATGCGCTCTTCATCTCTATACATTAATTTGCATTTTCTAGATGCTTATATAACAGCTCCACAATCTTTTTTTTCTCACAATGGACGAAAGGTATGGCTGTTTTTCAGCTTAAGTATTTTGAGATTTCTCTGTGTTACATCCGTCCCAGCAGATCGCCCTTGGTTGAGTTAGGCTTCACCACATGGGTAGACTGGTTTACTTTTACGTTTGTCTGTACTTGTATGTTTGGGGGGTTTCCCATGTTAAGCTATTTCAAGAAACATTCATGTATGGATACATGCTTTGATTTTTCTTGGAAAAGGACCCAGCAGTACAGTGAATGGCTAATACCACAAGTGCTCAGAATTTTTGTGTGTATGGATGTTTTTCCTCAGTGGCTGTGTAGATTCCTGGAGCTTGGAGTTTACACAGTTGGGAACTTCTCTGTGGGTGCTGGGAGTCCAATCTGGGTCTTTTAGAAAAGCAACTAGTGCCCTTAACTGTTGAGCTATCTCTTTAGTCCCAAGTGTTTACTTTTTTAAAGTAAGCATTTTAAATATAATGTTCACACATTACTAAAGTCATAGCAGTTAAGAACAGTTAGTAGCTGGGCATTGGTGGTGCACGCCTTTAATCCCAGCACTCGGGAGGCAGAGGCAGGTGGATCTCTGTGATTTCGAGGCCAGCCTCCAAAACAATACAGAGAAACCCTGTCTCGAAAACAAAACAAAACAAAAAACAAAAAAAGAACAGTTAGTAACTTTGGACTTTTCTTCCCTTAAAAACAACAAACTAGCCAGGTGGTGGTGGCACATGCTCTTAATCCCAGCACTTGGGAGGCAGTGGTAGGTGGATCTCAGTGAGTTCAAGGCCAGCCAGGTCTACAAAGTGAATTCCAGGACAGTCAGGGCTACCCAGAGAAACCCTGTCTGGAAAAAGCAAAACCAAAATAAAAAAAACCACCCAAATAGAGCAGTGGTTCTCAACCTTCCCAATGCTGAGACCCTTCAATACAGTTCCTCATGTTGTGGTGACCCCCCCACCACAAAATTATTTTGTTGCTACTTCATAACTGTAATTTTGCTACTGTTATGAATTTTAATGTAAATATTTGATGTGCACTGTTGGGGTTGAGACTCCAGGTTGAGAACTACTGAAATAGATGCTAGACTTCTGATAAACAATATCAAATGATGCTGTGTTAAGTAAGTCACATTACACCACAAAGAGCAAACCATGGTTTAACAATTGTTTTCTGACCTGTGGACATAACTCAGTAGCAATCTGTTTGCCTAGCATGCATGAAGCCTTAGGTTCAAACCCTAGAACCAAACAACAACAACAAAATAAGTTTGAGCTTTAGGTAGTGACTCATGAATGTAATCCCAGCACTCAGGAGGCATAGGCAGGAGGACTAAGTGTCACAGGTTCAAGGACAAGCTATCCGGGACTACATAACAAGACCCTGTCTCAAAAAACCTGGGTCAGTGAAATGGCTTAGCAGGTAACAGCACTTGCTACTAAGACTGACAACCTGAATTCGGTACCCAGGACCCATATTGAAAGTAGAAAACCAACTGCTGAACATTGTTCTTCAACCTCCATAAGTGCTCTATGGTACATGCTCACTCCCAAACAAATATATAAACAACTTTAAAAAATTCCCCAAACCAAAACACATTTTTTAATCTTTCCAAAATTCCTACAAATATTTTTAATACTAAAAAATAATATTTAAAAGAGCTCTTTTTTTTTTTTTAAGTTGTAGGCTCAGGTAAGTATGGTGGTCCATGGCAGCAAACCCATCCCCAGGAGACAGGATCAGGAAGACCTCTAGCACAAGTCCAGCCTTATCTGCATAGCAAAAGCTGGTCTCAAAAAAGAGAAAAGGAAAGAACACAGGCCCGGAACAGAGATTAGCATTGCACATTTCCTGAGAATTCTACACTAGTCGTAACCTGTAGCAGCCACATTCCTTGGGTTGTGTGATCGTTGCAGCAATGTTTTTCTTTTTTTCTACCAACCTTCGAATAGCTTCTCTTTGCTCTCATTCATTATTTTTATGTGTATGGATGTTTTGTCTGTATCTATATCTATGTACTATATATGTGTTCAGCATTAATGGAAGCCAGAAAAGGATGCTGGAGTTCCGGGAGCTGGAATTGCCAGCATTTGTGAGCTGCCAGATTGGTGCTGGAAATCAAACCTGGGTCTGCTGAAGGATTTTAACCGCTGAACCATCTCTGAAGTCCCTGCTTTCATTCTTAAGGAAGGAATAGGTTATTCAAGTTACTCTGTCTTTGAAAAGATGTTTTATTATTTGTGTGTGCTGTGTGTGTGAATGCCCATGGAGGCCAGCAAGTGCCTTCAGAGCCCTTGCAGTTGGAGTTGTAGGTGTTTGTGATACACCTGACAAGGGTGTGGGGATCTGATCTTGGGCCTTCTGATACAGACTAGCTTCTGAGCCATCTCTTCAGGCCCTTATTTAAATTGTTGTTAAGGAAACTATCAGATACTATGGCAGATCAGAAAGACAGAACATCCTTTTTATCAGTACTGTATGGAATGAGAGGGGACTAATGTTGATTGGTAGCTAAGAGCTGTGCTGGCCCCACAGTGGCCTTAGGAAGGCTTATTTCCTTGCATGTCCTTGTGCTCCTCTATTGTGCCCTTACCTTTGTCAGTTTTGGTTTGTGTGTTTTAGCTAGTTTCCATTTTGTTAATATCTTCAAATATGCCTTGTTTTCTGTCCCTGCTGTGTTTTCTCGGTTGCTATACTTGATGCTATTCACCTGCAGAGCAGAGGAACATGCATGTACTCTTCCAAGACTCCGAGCCTATGAGGGCAGGGCTGTGTCTCCTCACTCACTACCCACTGGGATAGCGCTCAGTCCTATTTATTGAATGGGTAAACAAGCTTCACAATGAGTCATTTTAATCTCAAATTACAAAGAAAGTGGTGGGCTTCAGAGTTCAAATGGAAGACAGACACCAAAGCCACCCATGTTTTCTCCTAGCCTAAACTGTTCCATAGCTGTAAGGCATTAAACACCCAGAGGAGGGCTGGCAGGCAAAGCAGGTAATTGAATTGAAACACTACACCTAATTACATAATTGATCAAATATAGAAACATAACACAGTCGGGTTTCCATAAATCCAATAATGAAAATACTGGTTTTACTATCTGTAAAATTTGATTTATTCTGGTTTTAGACTTCCACAAATTAAAATGACACAGTAAGGACAGCTTGTAAATCCAGAGACCTTTGTGGGAATCTGAGATGTTACCCAAAAACTTTATTTTCATGGTGAGGGCCACAAGTCTCACTGCCTCTCTAGCCCCCACTTTCTGCTTGTTTACAGAATCTTTTAGAGTATTTTCTAGAAATTATTTTTTAAAAAAACACTTTTGTTAAATCCACTCTTTGTATTTCCCTTTGACCATTCCTTTTGTATTATGCACCTTTTCCCTTTAGGGAGCCCTCTTCTTTATCATGACATCTCTGTGACTGACTGACTGTCTGTCTGTCTGTCTGTCTGTCTGTCTGTCTGCCTGCCTGCCTGCCTGCCTGCCTGTCCCCCTGCTCCATCTCATACTTCCTTACAAGGCACTACACTTACACTGAAGTACTTAAAACCCTGGGCTGAGATCAGTACTCCTCCTAGAGAGTTCTTGGCTTGTTCCATTTCTTACAGTGTGTTGTGTTCTTGTGTGGGGTTGTTTATGGCTAGTACCACACTGAACGGCTTCTTAGTGGCACATACTATCTCATAGCATTCATGTGTCTCAGTCTCCCTAGGATCTGATGTAGTTTCCAGCAAATAGTGTGTTACAAACCATCACCGTTTTTTGGGCTGTGGGTCTACTTTATCTGAGGCAGTGCATTGCTGGTCATCCTGAACAAGAGGCAAAGGTTATAGCCATTGTTTTAGTGCTCTGGGTTATAGGTTAGACTTGTGGATTCTGGATTACTGTAGGGTTTTTGTGTAGTTCAGCTTCCCATTGTGGAGTGTTAGCAGTTTTCTTGCCCTCTTGTTTATTTCTCTGATTTTTTTGAACCACTGCATGTCTTGGACCCACAGATATCTGAATTAGGTGAAAAATTTCTGCAGAACTGAGCATGACATGTTTCATTAAAAAGGGGAAACTGAGTGAGACTGAGGACCTGGTAGTTACTTATCTAATGTATAAGGCACTGTAAAAACAAGAACCAAGTGAAGGAGGTCATTCATCCCACAGATCACTAGTTAGAGCCACCTGTGTCATTTAGATGTTTTTCCCAGGTCAGATGGTGAGTCTTGAATGCCTTGTAGACTCTGGCCTTTTCCCCAGCTTTGGCTTCCCTTTATGTGCTTGGACTTTTGTTTTTTTCAACAAACTGTTCCAAATTAGGCCTCTCTTTGAAGTCAAAGCCAGGTTCAGTTAAGGCACCAGGGAATTCTCAGTCTTCTATGACTGACCTCGTCATGTTTGGAAACCTCTCCTGTGACCAGCTAGCTTGTCCAGTAGAGCAAACAGCACCTCCAGGCTAAGACAGTTTCTCCCCGAACTTGAGTTCTGTCACCCGGCTTCTCCCCCCACATGAGTCCCATCAGCCAGCCCTCATCTAACTTTTCAACAGAAGCGGCCTCTGTGTCTCCTTTTAAGCAGAGACAAATACCCACAAAACCCATGTGGCCGCCCATCACAAGTTCTGTAATAATCAGGACAACCAGAATTTAGACATCGATTAATCTCAGGACAGGAAAGTAATTAAATTCTTAAAACATTTTGTCAAGTTTAACATGGTCTTCTGAGGTCAACATTCTATTTTGTGAGGTGTGGCCCACAGATCTCTCCTTCACATCTTAAGAAGTGTCACCTGTTAATCTAACTTGAGAATGCTAGTGTTTTGCTGGTGTCAACATGGGTGTGTAGTCGAACAAGAACTGAACAGTCTGTACTCAAGGCAGGATCGAGACTTCTTTTTTTCTAATTCCACACAGACACGTCTTCGGCCTCTGAGGATGAGGGCTCTCTGAGACGCCAGGCCGCACTCTCTGCTGCCTTGCAACAAAGCTTGCAGAATGCTGAGTCGTGGATCAACCGCTCAATTCAGGGATCGTCCACCTCTTCATCCGCATCTTCTACGCTGTCCCACGGAGAGGTCAAAGGAACCAGTGGGTCTCTAGCTGATGTATTTGCCAATACCCGAATAGGTAGGAGTTGGATCTACCCGAGAAGCCCACCTAATGTTCCATTTGGCACCCAGTACCCTGGAAACAGTTTATGATTGTGCTAGGTTTTCAATGTGGCCTAAAAATATGATCATGAGACTGAGAAGGAAACACCAACAATATATTTGTTGCAGAGGTAATAGGCATCACCAGCATTATTGATACAAATGTTGTTCACCTGAAGCCATATCTATTTCCATAAGCAATACTGAAGCTGCAAAATAACACCAGTCTTAGTATGGGTTTATCCCAGAAGAGAAATAGTCCCTATATCAAGAGCTACTAAAATATGTAGCACCTCAGAAATATTATCTATGTTTCATAAAACATAACATATTTAATCTGAGCAAACTCTACACTAAGCCATTGTCAGCAAGGCCTTTTGGTTCATAGCCTAAAGACTGGATTTATGTTGCTTGCTGTGGTGATGTTGCTGCATGAGAAGTGTACAGGCTGAGGTCGGCTGCTGCTGGTGCTATTGTATGGTGTATAGCTGTTGCTTGCTTTGCTTTATGTATTTGTGAGTTTTGTTTTGTTTTGTTCCCCCCCCCCCCCCGCAGGTCTCTACTTTACTTACTTGGTGGCACTAAGTCTGATGTATTACTCTTTTTTTCTTGACAACCAGTCACATTTCATTATCTAATTGTCATCTCAGTACCATTTCTATATCACTTTATATAATATTTCAATTTGATTTCTGAAAAGAAAGGGCTGGAAAATTATAGTTTAAGATTATACTTTTTAATGAAGATAGCTACCTTGTAGGTATAATTGCCACATTAAAAAGCCACACATCATCATGGTGACCCACCCTGCACTCTTTGGCCTACTCTGTATCACCGAGCCTCCCAGTGCATCCATACATAGACAGGCATGTTTCCCACTACTCTTGTCACAGACAACAAGCAACAGAGTCATGGCTGGGAGAATTTATTGATGAATATGTCTAAAAAAAAAAGCTTTTCCACTTGAGAAAGAAATCCAAACACCTACTTTACATTGTCTGGATTTTATTAAGATGATTTCATGTGACTTCCTATTTTTCTTAATTTTTTTAGTTGAGTTGCAGAAACCTTCTAATCCAGCATTGCTGCTTTTGGATGTTAGCTCCAATGGAAGTAATACCTGTTCCTTAAAAGAAACAATAATCTACAGGGTGTGGGGAATCATGCCATTAATCCCAGCATTCAGGAGGCAGAGTTCAAGGCCAGTCTGGTTCCAAAGTGAGTTCCCAGACAGCCATGGGTGTGCAGAGAGACTGCCTTGAAGAAGAGAGAAGACTGTCATTGTATGGATTACACGTTGGTGTTGCCATCTTGGTGTGCAGCCTAGATTTAGTTTAGAACATGTAGGGATTTGACTTTGATTTTGTAAAATGTAAAGTGTCCTAAATGTGATTAAGTCACTATCTGCTTTTCTTAGCAATTTATCTTGAACATCTTTTAAACATTTATAATTATGCTGTCCTTCTTGTGATTTTAAAGTATACTACTGTTTTTCTATATCCTGGTTTATTTAGCCATTTATTTAGTGTCCAATGCCATCCTCTTACAAAAATCGCTCAGATGGACATGCTGGGTCAAATACAATATAATACACTTTTCTAATTGGGTATAGTGGTGTACACCTGCAATCCCAGCAAATGGAAGGTTGAGGAAGGATTAAGGCCTACCTGAGCTACATAGCAGGATCCATTCTTTTTTTTTTAATAAATTTTATTTAATTTTATCTTCTGTGCATTGTTGTTTTTGTCTGTGTGTATGTCTGTATGAGGTTGTCAGATCTTGGAGTTAGACAGTTGTGAGCTGCCATGTGGGTGCTGGGAATTGAATCCGGGTCTTCTGAAAGAGCAGTCAGTGTTCTTAACCACTGAGCCGTCTCTCCAGCCCCAGCAGGATCCATTCTTAAAACAAAACAAAACAGGGGCTGGAGACATGGCTCAGTGGTTAAGAGCACCGACTTCTCTTCCAGAGGACCCGGGTTCAATTTCTAGCACCTGTAACTCCAGGATCCACTGCTGTCACACAGACTTATATGCAGGCAAAACACCAGTGCATACAAAATAAAAATAAATAAATAATTAAAGGGCATTGGTGGCGCACGCCTTTAATCCCAGGACTCGGGAGGCAGAGGCAGGCAAATCTCTGTGAGTTTGAGGCCAGCCTGGTCTACAAAGAGAGTTCCAGGACAGCCTACAAAACTACAGAGAAACCCTGTCTAGGAAAAACAAGCAAACAAACAAACAAACAAGCAGACAGAAAAACCAAACAAACACCAGCTGTAGTCCTAGCACTTGGGAGGCTGAACCAGGAAGATCCAAAAAAGAACATTTTTTTGCCACATTATACCACAATGGACTCTTACCAGTTATGTTTCAAACTTTAAAAAGTATTATTTCTAAAACTAACACTCATAGACCTTTGAAACACAGAAACTTTTCTCTTACATTTTCCCTCTAGTGGATTTTCATTATTTTTGTGTCATATGGTATGCATCCTCTAATTTCCTTCTTCAGAAGATGTTTTCTATTTTTTGTTTGTTTTTTGATTGTTTGTTTCTTTTGTTTTTTTGGTTTTGTGGCATAGCTTCATTCAGTAGTTTTCTTCTAACTTAGGTGGCTCACTTTCTCACATCAGTTACTTTCCATGGACACTGAGCAAGACGGTATGCACCTGTAATCCCAGCACTTGGAGGTAGAAGCAGGAGGATTAGCTGACCTGGCTGATGAGATCCTGTCTCAAAGAACAAAATTCAAAAGAACTTTTCCATGAAGTAGCATATGTGGGTTAATCTCTACTTAGAGCAAGAAATGGCCTTGCCTGAATGGGTCCAATTTAACTATGGTCCATTTCATCAAAGTTAGAAGTTGACTTTATCTTGTTTTCCTTCCTCTGAGAACATGGGTCTCTGACCCATTCTAAGCCACCATTTAGAGCTTCGGTAGAAGGGGAAAAATCCTAGATAAAACACAACATAAAGAAGTGTTCAGAGAACTAGCAGCAAATTGAGCACTTAATCACTTTAGTTTCGTTTTGAAATGACTTTTAGACCATTGGATTCCTATTATCCACTCTGTATAGAAAATAATGCTTTTCAGAAACATCAGTTATGTGATTTGATCTAATAACTAAAACTACTTAAATCTTGAAATTTATTGTTCTGGAAAGCTGATATGCTCTGGTTTGCCTTCATTTCCCTCCAATAAGTTGCTAGTAGATTTTGATTAAAAAGTTTGTTTTAGGGCTGGTGAGACATCTCAACGGGTAAAAAGCACTTGCATGCATCTTTGGGACCTACAACAGAAGGAGAGAGCTAACTCACAATACACGATAATAATAATAAGTAAATAAGTAAATAAATATTTTTAAAGTTTGTTTTAAAAGAGCTAATGATTTTTATTCTTTCTAAAGCAAAAGATTTATACTTGGTTTTTTTGCTGTTAATACCATAGATTCTAAGTTATATCTTTTCCCTTCAGAGAATGTCTCGGCTCCTCCCGATGTCACTGCAACTACCTCTTCCTCCTCCTCCTCCCTTCGCCCGGCAAACATTGACCTGCCCCCTTCCGGCATAGTTAAAGGCATGCACAAAGGATCCAACAGATCCAGCCTTATGGATACGGCTGATGGTATGGAGTCCCTTGGTGTAAGGTTAGGGAGTGTACATTAAACTGGGAAAATTTAGATCGTCCGCAGCGGTTCCTCCCAGTTGTCCCAGCTGCATAGACACACTGCCGCTGGCTCACTCATAGTCACCATACAGAGTCCCTCTTGTCACTTTTTCACACTTGGTGTTTATGAAAATTACTATGAACCAAGTGTGGACAAAAAAGAGCGCTACAAGAGAAAAAGAACCCTGGGACCCTTCCGGCTGTACACTCCGCACAGCACTGTGTCTGTCTCTGCTCTCATATGGTCGTGTGTATATTTGGTCCCTTTCAAATAGAGTAAGATGGGCAAAGAAAAGCTAACCATCATCAGAAATAAAATCTGGGAGGAAGGAGGAAGGGAAAGAAGAGTAAGAAAGAGAAATCACAAAGTTTCGATAAGCAAGGCATTTAAATCCTTAAAAGTCTCATTGATAATAAAAAGCTTAATAGTTATGTTTTTAAAAAACAAGAAAAGTCAGCCGGGCGTTGGTGGCGCACGCCTTTAATCCCAGCACTCGGGAGGCAGAGGCAGGCAGATCTCTGTGAGTTCGAGGCCAGCTGGTCTACAGAGTGAGTTCTAGGACAGCCTCCAAAACAATACAGAGAAACCCTGTCTCGAAAAACCAAAAAAAAAAAAAACCAAGAAAAGTCTTTTTAGGTAATTGAGGAAATAAAATAATTTATTGAACCCAGTGAACTTTAGCTTAGTTTACCATTATTTTTTCCTTTACAGGTGTTCCTGTCAATAGCAGAGTATCCACAAAAATCCAGCAGCTTCTCAGCACTCTGAAAAGACCCAAACGGCCCCCCTTAAAGGAGTTTTTTGTTGATGACTCTGAAGAAATTGTGGAAGGTAGTAGTAAAGGTGCCAGAAGCATGCACTCACTAGCAGTCAGCACACACTGGGTGTGTATGGCAGGAGCTCACTCAGCGGCTGTTTCCCTAAGGGTCATTTGTGTGTTAGGTCTCAGGGAGAAGGGGTGGATGAATGGATGAGGAGGATGGGGAGCTTAGATGGCTCTGCTAGTTAGTGTGTGTGGTCTTTGAGCTCAGTCAGTGATTCAGAAGTGTGTAGTGTAGTGTAGTGTAGTGTGTAGTGTGCGTGAGAGAGAAAGAGAGAGAGAGAGAGAGAGAGAGAGAGAGAGAGAGAGAGAGAGAGAGAGAGAGTCTTTCTTGTGTAAAGAACTAAGCCCTATCAGTTTGTGCTTGTTTTTGTGGGGCTTGTTTGTTTGTCCTAGACTAAAAGTAGACTATAATCACATCAGAAGAGTAATGGAATTTGGCATATTGGAGACTAGTTCTGATCTTCGTCAGGTCCTAACACCAGTTTCTTTTGGAAGCATGAAATAGTGTGCATGAAGCCCAGTGGAGCATTGTGCCTGCCGGGTGGTGCACAGTCTCTGAAGAGATGAAACAGTTTATTAGCAGTAACACCTGGGCAATCCTGCTAAATTTAGACTAAATGTAAGGGTCTGTAGTGGTCTGAAAATAGTATGCAAATTAAGGAGTGAAATCTGGCTGTTGGTGGCAACCACCTTTAATCCCAGCACTGTGGAGGCAGAGACAGGTGAGTTCAAGGCCACAGTGGTCTACAGAGAGAGTGCTAGGACAGGCTCCAAAGCTACACAGAAAATCCCTGTCTCTAAAAAACAAAAGAAGAAGAAGAAGAAAAATGGTAAAATGAGTATTTTGTCAGTAGAAGAATGAATTCAGAGAAATGAATGCAAGTAGCATTCATTGCACTAATTAAAAAGCCAGGCTCAGAAATGTAAAGGCGGCATGGTTTCCTGCAGAATCTAGATTTAAGTGTGTATTAGTGTGTGCAGGTCCTGAGCAAAGGGACTGTGTGTGTGTATGTGGGGGGGTGGCTAAGACATGGAACTCACGTGATGTGAAGGCAGCTGTGAGAACTGTTTGGGGAGGGGGAGGCCAGCAGGAGGGATAGGAGGGGCAGGATGAGCAAGAGTAGAGTGTAATGATACAAACGTATAAAAATGCTGTTAGGAAACCCACTACTTTGTATGCTAACTCTACAAAAAGAATGACTCAAAACAAATTTCTACAAATCCATCATAATAGTGAGTTACTAAGAACAGTTTTTTTATTCTTATTTTTAGTTGTTCATACTGATTTATTTTGTGTATGTGGGTGTTTTCCCTGTATACACATATGTGTACCACTTTCATGCCTGGTGCCCACAGAGGCATCAAATATCCTGTAACTGGAATTGTAACAGTTGTAAGCTGACATGTGGGTGCTGGGAATTGAACCTGGGTCCTCTGGAAGAACCCCTAGTACTCTGAACCACTGAGCCATCTCTCTGGCGCACATAAAACTACAGCATGCATTAGGGATATGCACACAGCAAAACCAGGACAACACAGGCAGTGGGTGACTACATACTCAGGGAGTCCAGGAGAGAGAATGTCACCGCCTGGACGAGTAACACCTGAGTTGAGGTATTACTATTGCTGTCTATGCCCCTGGTGTACTCTGTAGGTATGTATGCAATATTTGTTTTCTCTGCAGATGTGCGTGTGTGATATTTGTTTTCTCAGGTTGCTTTGTTGAGACAAGAGTCTTGGCAGTATTCTTGGCAGACCTTAAATTTGAGCTTGTTCCCGCTTTAGCCTCCTGAACTCTGGGACTGTGGGCAAGGGCTCCCACATCCAACTTGTTCACATTCTCAGTTTATCATAGTCTATGCACATAATTGGTGCACAGTAAATACTTGACTGTTTAGTCTATCGGTAAATTATCTTTCCTTCTATGAGAATGTAGAATTTGGGAATGTAGAATTTAAGACTGAACACAGTGGGAGACAGATAGATGGCTCTCTATGAGTTAAGACCAACCTTGTCTACACATTGAGTTTCAAGCCTACATAGCAAGTCCCTGTCCTTAAAAGAAAAACCAGCCAAAACCAATAATAAACAAAAGAAATGTTGGATTTAAATAATTAGTTTAATAATGCTTGTACACTGTAGAAAAACCTACAGTGTATACATGAGTATAAACAGCCCCTTTGAGTCTGTGTCTCACAGTTCTGCTCATCTAACATTGTTAAGCAGCCCTTGCATTTGGGGCACTATCAGCAGGTGATGGGAGTAAGAGCCATCTCTCCCCTGGATGCTGGGACTCCTTGGGAGGATGCTGGAAGCCCTAAGGTCGTCCTTTCTCACTGGGAGAATAATCCAGAGACTGAGGAGAAAATGTGTTCGAGGTTAGAGTTGTGTTAGGGGCATGTAAACTTACTTCATCTTGTCTGTTTGCTACAGTACCTCAGCCAGATCCTAACCAGCCAAAGCCTGAGGGCCGACAGATGATGCCAGTGAAGGGGGAGCCCCTTGGAGTCATCTGTAACTGGCCCCCTGCACTGGAATCTGCCCTGCAGCGATGGGGCTCTACCCAAGCCAAGTGCCCCTGCCTGACCGGGCTGGACGTGTCCGGGAAACCAGTCTACACGCTCACATACGGTGGGTCCCCACTGGGTGTAGTGTTTCTCTTGATATTTCTCAGTTGCACGTGTCTGATTTATTTGATTGAGCCCTGTGTTCCAAGTGGAGCTGTTGCCAAACATTTTCATTTGCTAGAGTGACATTGGCAAGCAGCTAGTTTATAAAGACAGCAAAAAGGTTTATTTCTACTTTTACAGTAGAAAAGGATTTGTTTTGTGTTTTTGAGACAAAGTCCATTTAGCCCAGGACAGCCTTAGACTTGTAGCAACGGATGGTCTTGAACTCTTTTTTTTTTTTTTTTTTTTTTTTAAGATTTACTCATTTAGTATCCCTGCAGGCCATAAGAGGGCACCAGATCTCATTACAGATGGTTGTGAGCCACCAAGTGGTTGCTGGGGATTGAACTCAGGACCTCTGGAAGAACAGCCAGTGGTTTTTTTTTTTTTTTTTTTTTTGGTTTTTCGAGACAGGGTTTCTCTGTGGCTTTGGAGGCTGTCCTGGAACTCGCTTGGTAGTCCAGGCTGGTCTCGAACTCACAGAGATCCGCCTGCCTCTGCCTCCCGAGTGCTGGGATTAAAGGCGTGTGCCACCAACGCCCGGCTCAGCCAGTGTTCTTAACCTCTGAGCAATCTCTCCAGCCCTGGCCTTGAACTCTTAATGCTCTTAGCCTCCTGATTTCCGAGATTGCAGACATGAACCATGGCACCTGGCTGGAGGATTTTAGAAAGTATTTTGTCAGTATTAATGGTTGTGGAGAAGGAAAACCACTGTATTTAGAACTACAGGCTGCATCATCCTGCTTATATTAAGCACACAATTATATACAGAATAAAATGAATACTTTTCCATTTTTACAGCTCCTCCAAGAGCTAAGGACCACTCTTGTTCATTTGATACCTACGAGTCCACTGGGTTAACCCCTAGAGCCAGCTTCTCTTTTGATCTTAGTTTGTTTTATGTTTTCTGTAAGACATTTTTTCACTATGTAACACAGTCTGGGCTCGAACCAGAAGAAATCTTCCTGCCTCGGCCTCCTAAAAGTTAGGATTGTTGGCATGAACCCCCATACTCAGCTTTCTGTTTGTTGTCTTTTTTCTTTTTCTTGTCTTTTTTTTTTTAATTATTTGAAATAACCCATCCAGTCTCAAGTAGCTTGTGAGACACAGATGAGCTGTTCTTCAAAAAAAGCCTAGGACAGAACCAACCAACTGCTTTTTAGTCTTGGATATAAAACAAGCAAACAAAAAATATTGCCCTCTCTTTAAAGGGATACTTGAGGATACTGTTATTACATCATTTAAAAAAATTGAAATGAGCTATGTATCAGTGGCACTTACCTTTAATCCCATTACTCAGGAGGCAGAGGCAGGCAGATCTCTGTCAGTTCAAGGCCAGCCTGGTCTACAGAGTGAGTTCCAGGGCAGCCAGGGCTACCCTGGCTCAAAAAAAAAAAAAAAAAACAGAAAAGAAAAGAACTTGAAATAGTAAGTAAGGCAGGGTGATGTTTTATTTGTTCCAGGGCAAGAGTGGCCCTTCAGAGTGCCTGAGAGGCTGTTTGCAGGAATGCTTGCTGTGTTGGGGAGGTTGGCTCTAACTCATCACAACTGGCCTGTCTTAGCATGCTGACCCCAGTGCTTTCTGGCTGGAGTAGGCCTATAATTTTTTCTGTCTCATTGTTTTCTTTTTCTAGGGAAGTTGTGGAGCAGAAGTTTAAAGTTGGCTTACACGCTGCTTAATAAACTGGGGACCAAAAATGAACCTGTGTTAAAACCTGGAGACAGGGTAATTTGTTTTGTTTTGTTCAGAAAGGTGACATTTGTTTGTTTCTAATACACACACCTTGGGCTTTTGTTGTACAGTGGTAAGATTTCCATAACCCCCCTTTAAAAATGCTTGTTTATTTGTGCTAGGTGTATGGGTGTGTTGCTGGCATGTGTATCTATACCATGTACCTGGTGCCTTAGGGTGTCAGAAGAGGGCATCAGATTCCCAAGAACTAGACAGGGTTAGAAATCGTTGTGAGCTCCCATGTGTGTACCGGAAAGGGAACCCTGGTCCTTCATAACACTAACCAGTACATTCAACACTGGGCATTTTCCAGCCCCAGTGTAACGCTTATTCCTAGGAAACAAAACCAATTTAGTCTGGAGTCCCAACTGTCCAACTCAGCACTAGTGTTGGTTTGTAGTTCAGAGGCTTTGGGCCTCTTTCTGGAGCTGTTTATTGAAAAGCCAAGGTATTAAAAAGGGAAATTAAGTCTTTCTGAAAGTAAGTGCTTTGATGTTGGCTCAAATCTTTGTCTTTATAAAACTGGCTCTTAAAATTGTTAGAGCCAAATTGACACTGTTTCATTTAGTTCTTAATTGAAAGTGACATAGTTTTTTAAATTTTGGTATTTTTGCTTCCCTGTTAGCAATGTACTGAATATGTTTACTTCCTGTCATTCAACATTACTGTTTATTTGTAATTTGTAGAATGAAATACCAGCTACTACACAGCAGTTTTTTTGTTTTGTTTTGTTTTTTTGGTTTTTCGACACAGGGTTTCCCTGTGGCTTTGGAGGCTGTCCTGGAACTCGCTCGGTAGACCAGGCTGGTCTCGAACTCACAGTGATCCGCCTGCCTCTGCCTCCCGAGTGCTGGGATTAAAGGCGTGCGCCACCAATGCCCGGCTCTACACAGCAGTTTTTATGAATTAACTTATGCCTGTTGGTTTGTGGGGGATGGGGTCTTTTGGAGGTCTTAATACAACTCTGTCCTTCCACCACCTAAGTCCTAGGGAGTAAACTCAGGCTTGGTGGCAAACACTTTTAAGGTATCTTATGGACCCTCAAGTAACTCTTTAAAAATGCTTTTACAGTGTGCCAGAAATATTTAAAGTGTAACTTTTACTATACAAAGTGACATTGAGGATTTCCCATGGCTCACTGAACCCTAAGCAGGTGATGTGCCTACCCAAGTGTCAAGATGGCAGTTTGTAAGCAGTAAGGAAATTGTTCTGTGCAACTAGTCACTTTTAGACCTCTAGGTTTAAAGTGAACTCACCTTTGGAGTGAGTTTAAAGAATCTGATTGCAAGTGGAGAAGGAACAGGAACCCAGTGATTAAGGGGCTGGCTGGCTTGACGGCTCCCTGAGAGACGCACAGCTTTAATATATGCTGTCTGTATTGAGATGCCCACCATATCTATGCCATTAACCCTGTACTTAGGTAAATTGCCTTAGGCTTCCTAAGTAGTTAACATATTAGGCAAGCTGTTTACCATTGAATCACAGCTAAGATTGAGTGAAACATTTTACCATAATGATAATGAATTGCATTTTTATTTCTCAAATTGGGTAAGTTTTATGGTTTTGTCTTTGCTTTTTGGTGTTGCTAGGAGTTGCAGTGGGGCCTAACAGGAGGCAAATACTCTCTGAGATACATTCCTGATTCCAAAATAGACAGTGTAACTGTGGGGATGACAGTGCTCCTACCAGATGTTTTTGTCTTTCTTAGTTGCTTAATTTCCTTCAGATCAAATAACTATTAAATTGTTTGGCTTACTGTGTTCATGGAAAATGTTCTGTGTTCATAGAGTTAATCAGTTTATACTCCACTGTTGTTGAATGTCTTTGGAAATTTTAGGTTGCCTTGGTTTACCCCAACAATGATCCAGTCATGTTTATGGTGGCTTTTTATGGATGTCTCCTGGCAGAAGTAATTCCAGTACCCATAGAAGTACCACTGACCAGAAAGGTAACATTGCTGTGTTAAATGTCTTTCGCTGTGATACAGTAGGCACTGGACTGACTTACTGATTCTAGAAGCAATGTGATTGCTGGGCATGATGACCTATGCCTTTAATCCTAGCACTTGAGATGCAGAAGCAGGTGGATCTCTGTGACTTTGAAGCTAGTCTGCCTGGACAGCCAAAGCTACACAGAGGGATGCTGTCTAAGAAGGAAGGGAGGGAGGGAAGGAAGGAAAAGAAAGAAAGACAAGAAAGGAAGAAAGAAAAGAAAAAAGAAGCAACATGATCATATTTTTATATTTTAAAGATTTATTTATTGATTCATTATGTCTACGGTGTTCTGCCTGCATGTATGCCTGCAGGCCAGAAGAGGGCACCAGATCTTATTACAGATGGTTGTGAGCCATCGTGGGATTGCTGGGAATTGAATCTAAGGCCTCTGGGACACAGTTAGTGCTCTTAACCTCTGAGCCATCTCTCCAGCCCAGATCATGTTTTAAAATACTCAGCTTTACTTTCAAAAAACATGAAAGTTGTCAAAAATTATGTAGATATGAGTGTCAAGTAGATTACATATCTCATCTACCACATTATCATGTTAGAAATCATGGGAGGCTTATATCTGAGTGTGCAGTGGTTATCATTCATAGAGTATCATCTCCTATACCTACTTTATCATGGAACTTCCTTTTAACTGCCTGACATAACCCAGAATGGTTGAGTGGGTGGTGATGCAGTGGTGGAAGTGACTGTCCCTGAGTGAAGAATGGTGTTAGGACTGTGTCAGCCCTAATAGTAATGATGACAGTGCTCTTGACATTGACCATCTCGTGCTGTTTATTATTGAGAATTGATGTTAGAGATCAATATGGTATAGAATGTTGATTTATGAGACAGCATTTTTTTAAGTGATAAGACCCAAATTGGTGACATTGCTAAAGTTTTAGGTGATGGATAAGTCTGTCTTTTTATTACTCAGGAAGGAAATCATAGGGTTCCTCTTAAGGTGACAATACTTGTGTAGTTTCCTAATGATACTTTGAAGGTGTATGTAAATACTGTAGACTTTGCCTTTGATTGCGTTTGCTGCTGTTTAAGGTTGAAATTTATTTCCTTTAAAGTAGAACACAAGATTAGGTATAATTGTCTGGAAATAACAGGCTCTGATGTCTAGTCCATCTGTGTTATTTATATTGTTCTGGCCTGGGTAGCTGCTACTCTTAGATCTGGGGGTAGGGCTGTGAGAAGAAAACTGTGTTAAAATTTGTCCTACTTGCCTCTAGAGTCAGACGGGGTTACACTGGCTTAGGGTGCATGCTTCACAATGTCAGGTTAAAGCAGTGTTTGGTTATACTTAGGGAACCAAAGATTGTTTGGAGCCATGTTATCTCCAGCTTTGACATTTGCCAGCTATCTGGGCTCTGAGGCACAGTGGGTAGTGCTGAAGTGTCTCTGGGTGCTGTTGCTAAGCATGGCGTGCTCTTGTTCACTCACGCTCAAACACCCTCACTGTGCTCACTCACGCTCACACCCTTACTGTGCTCATTATTTTTCTCACAGGATGCCGGAGGTCAACAGATTGGCTTCTTGCTAGGAAGCTGTGGGATTGCCTTAGCTCTCACCAGTGAAATTTGTCTGAAGGGCCTGCCAAAAACTCAGAACGGAGAAATTGTACAGTTCAAAGGTGAATACTATTCAAACCTGAGTGCTTCAGGCTTTTATTTTTGCTTTTGCTTTTGTTTTGCTTTTTGTCAAGACAGAGTTTCTCTCTGTAGCCCAAGCTGTCCTCAAACTCACAGAAATCCACCTTCCTCTGCCTTCTGGATCCCGGCTAGTTAGAATTTTAATAGAATAACAGCTAAGGGCTTCACGTGTATTTGTTTGTTTGTTTTTAATTCTTACTTATTTGAGATAGGTATAGTAATTATGCTCATTTTTCAGGTAGGGAATTGTGAAACAGAACCCTCAACCCCAGCTAATAAATGGCAGAGCAGTGACTTGAGCCCAGTCTGTCTGATTCTGTAGCCCTACCCTTAACCTTTGTGTTACTGGCTGGAAGGGCCAGCTACCCCTGTGTACATTAAAGCAGGGGGCCAGGGGGGCATGAGGCTCCACATACTTCCACTGACAAATGAATCTCCCTGTTGTTGAGGACCATCTAGGCTGCCTGTATTTATTGTGTGGAATGACTGTTCTTTTGAAAGAAGTTATAATAAAAATTAGGTATTTTATTGATGATGAAATGATCTTAATATGTAATCTTGACATTTAAGATGACTAGCTCAGTGTGAAGTCCTTCAGTGGTGGCTTAGGCAACTCAATTTTCACTCTGGGTTTGATTTAGGTTGGCCTCGGCTCAAGTGGGTTGTAACAGATTCCAAGTATCTTTCAAAGCCTCCCAAAGACTGGCAGCCCCACATCTCACCTGCTGGTACGGAACCAGCATACATTGAGGTAAGTCTGGAGGCTGGCGTGTGTTTCCTGGCGTTCCTTTAGCTTCAGGTGCATGCTAATGAGTGTTAAGGAAGAAGTTTCCGTTTTGTAGCCTTGTAAATGCTCTGTAATGGACCTTCTGTTACCATTAACTTGAGGCAGAGTTGGAGTTTATTAAAAGAGATTTTAATGTAGACTTGAAGCATAAAGAGAAAAAGAGGTACCCAGGAAGAATGTTAAGACACAACCAAGCGTGTGGACGTGGAGTGTCCCCTGTGCTGGTTGCTGTCGCTCTAACCTCTCAGTCTGGAGGACACTGGCCTTCTGGAAGGGAGGCTGCAGAGATGACTGGCTGGCACAGGAACTGTGCTGCTGCTATGAGAGTTGGGGCAAAGCAGCGGAGAAATGAGGGGAAGCAGTGAGTTCAACAGACAGAAAGAACGTTTTAAAAAACAACTAAAGGCCTTGAAGGTTAGTGTGGGACCCTGACTGACTGACAGCAGCACTCACACCGAATCTGTCTGCACAGTCCTCGGGGCTGAAGACTTGAAATTCATTTCTTCATTAATTCGTGAAAAAAACCTAAAAAGATGCCAGGCAGTGGTGGCGCACGCCTTTAATCCCAGCACTCGGGAGGCAGAGGCAGGTGGATCTCTGTGAGTTTGAGACCAGCCTGGTCTACAGAGCTAGTTCCAGGACAACCTCCAAAGCAATACAGAGAAACCCTGTCTCAACCCCCACCCCCCAAAAAAAAACCAGAAAGATTTCAACTTCCTTGTTTAATTTATTTTTTGTTTATCTTCCTCATTTTTATATTGTTACTAGTGATTTATTATAAAATTAGCCTGGTCAATTCTGTGCAGTATATTTGATTCATATTCATCATTGACCCCAGATTTGTGTCTTTTTTTTTTTTAAACTCAAAAAGTCCTTCCATATACTCTTGGATGTGTGGCCTTCCACTGAAATGTGGCCAGTCTTTGAGGCTGGGCGCACCTTTAAGAGGACTGACTCTTCCTTTCACAGCGCCATCAGTTGCCAGAAGCTCCCTTGCTGGCCGTGGCCTGATGCCCACCTTGCCTCTCCATGTTGGGCTTTTGTCTGGCTTGAGCTTGAGCAGTTCTTGCTCATGCTTTCACAACTGCTGTGAGTTCATATGGGCAGCTGCCCTGCTGTATACAGAAAACACTCTCCACATCACCATCCACTAGCTCTGATTCTCACTGTCTTTCTGTCCCACCTCCTTCTACAGTGATCCCCTAGTCTTGGGAGGAAGGGTGTGATAGAGAGGTGCCATTTAGGCTGAGTACTCTGCATCTCCCATTCTCTGCCCCTGGACCAGTTGTCTATCTCGGTTAATCACCATATACTGCAATAGGAGCTTCTCTGATGAAGGTTGCACTAATCTGTGAGTGTAACAATAAGTTACTAAATTTCAACTTGTGAACAACCTGCTCTATGGAGTCAGGGAGATGGCTTAGTAGGTAAAGCTACTTGCCACCAAGGCCAAGGGACCAGAGTTCTAGCCCCAGAACTCGAATGGTAATAGAGAACTAATCTCCACGAGTTCCTCTAACCCCACATGTGTGTCATGACATAGGTGTCTCTCCAGTAAATAAATAATGTTTTTTTTTTTTTAAAATCTGCTCTATGGGCAAGGAGGCTGAACTTCAAATTTTGGCAACTGTCAAACGGTCACATGACTGAAATCCTGTGACTGACACTGTGCCCTTCATGTCTGTGACCTCTTAAGATTTGCTCACCAGCTATTTGCTAAATTAATTAGTACACACATCCATGAAAACTTTTAAAAGGCTTGGGGTGCAATGTGTATTGAAATCTTTTTGGGGGGGTTTTCAAGACATATTTCTCTGTGTAGCTTTGGAGACTGTCTTTGTACTCAATTTGTACACCACACTGGCTTCAAACTCACAGAGATCCGCCTGCCTCTGCCTCCCTAGTGCTGGGATTAAAGGTGTGCACCACCACCATACAGCCTGAAATCTTTTGTAATAACCAATATAGGTAAAACTTGAAATGGCCTTGGCCACAAAGAAGAGGGTAGAGGTACTGTTGCCTGCAAAGAGGGTAGTTTCTAAGGAGAGATCAGAGAATGTCTGAAAGACAGTCGAGTAAACAAAAGCCTGCTCAGTGATGAGGTGGCTCTTGCCTGCCTTTCTGGGCTCCTGGAAGCTGGAGCTGCTGGCGCCCTGGACCGCTGCTGAGGTTGGCCCTTTATCATGCAACCCTCCTTAGCCCTGGCCTCAGACCCTGCTACTTCAGATCCACTTGCTGGAGAGCCTCATACAACCCTCAGGATTTGCTACAGAGTTGGAAACTAGTAAAGGGCTGTCAGTAGGAGGGAAATAAGGATGACTCATAAAGATATATATATATATATATATATATATATAAACATTTCTCTAGGGCCAGCTGGATGGCTTAGCAGGTAAGCATTTGCCACTCAAGCTTGATAGGTTTGACCACAAAACTCCCACATAAAGGTGGGAGGAGAGAACCAACGCTACCAACCTCCACACATGTGCTGTGGCATGTATGTGCACTCCCCCCACACAAAATACACAAACAAATCTATCTAGATTGGCTGGGTTCTAAAGGGAGCGCTAGTTTTAGGTGTTTTTTTTTTTTCCTCTATAAATTTTATGTGTTTTGCCTGAGTGATCTGATCATGTGTATGCAGTTCCCACAGAGGCCAGAAGATAGCATTAGATCCCTTAGAACTGAAGTCTAGACAGTTGTGAGCTGCCATGTGGGTGCTGGGAACCAAACTGGGTCCTCTATAAGAGCAGCCAAGTGCTCTTGACTTCTGAGCCATCTCTCCAGCCCTGACCTGCTTTTTTTTTTCTCTCTCTCTCTCTTTTGAACTGGAGAGATGGCTCAGTGGTTAAGATCACTGGCTGCTTTTCCAGAGGACCAGGGTTCAATTACCAGCATTCACTTGACAGCTCACAACTGTCTGTAACCCCAGTTCTAGGGGACCTGGCACATGTATGCAAAACATCAATGCACATGAAATAAAAATAAATCTTTCCTCGTAGAGGAAAGCAGATTCCTGATCTCCATAGTGAATTCCAGGACATCCAGTGCTTCATTGTGAGACCATGTCTCACAAAGGAAGAAAACACAGAGAGTTCTCATGGGTGGAGGTGGGATGGATGGAGTGTTGGTAGCATGGTTTCCCAGGACAAGAGGCACTCAGGCAGGGTGCTGTGAGTCTGGGTCTCTGAAGAAGAGGCTAGGTGGACAGAGAGCCAGGAGTCAAGCAAAGATACAATACCCTGATGGCATAAGGGGAGCCAGGAGGGGGGATTTCCCAGGGTGCCACATTTAAGGCACAGTTAGAGATGATTCTGGGTAAGATAGCTCATGAAAGTTGGAGGCAGGAATATTGCCATAAGTTTCAGGCAAGCCTAGGCTACAATGTGAGACCTTGACTTGGAGAGGGAGAAAAAACAACTCAGAGATGGTCAGAGCAATGAGAGTAAGAAACCAGGAAACACAAACAAAAGCTAAGCAAGTCAGATGGCAAAGATCTGTTGTGTGTGTAAATTGTGCAAAATATGTTTTTGGTCTGACATTAGAAAGGAAGGTACAGCCTGGATAAAAGCAAAGAAACCATGTGCAGGAGTGAATAGGGCCCACATCTCTTTGTGTTAGTATTTCTGTGGTACTAGGGGATCAAAGCCTGTGTCTCACACAGCTAATTGAGTGTTCCACCACTGAGCAGCTACTGAGGAATGGCTATATTTGGCATTATGCTTCTGCTCATACAGCTCAAGTCACTTGACTTTAGTTTTTTGGTGACCAGGTCACATTGATGAGCCACTAAACTTTGAAGTCGTTTTGCACATGCTCCAGTAGGCTTCATCGTCCTCCAGTCTTGGCTCTGTTTGTCTAGAGTTGGAGTCCAAGTCCAGAGCCTTAAATGTTCCTGTTCAACATATAAAATTAAGTCCATTGTGTTGTTTATCTGGGTTTAGGTTTGGACTCTGAATTTTGTCATTTATAATAACCCGTCTTATTGTGCTTCTTATAGTTTTGTTTTTGTTTTATTTTTTCTAGTATAAAACAAGCAAAGAAGGGAGTGTAATGGGAGTTACAGTATCCCGGCTTGCAATGCTGTCTCACTGCCAAGCTCTGTCACAGGCCTGCAATTATTCTGAAGGTCAGACCTCATCCCGTGACTGCCCTCATTGTTAGCTTCAGATACATGTGGCTGTGAGCTCCCACTTGGTGATTGGACTCCATTCAATAACCAAATTCAGAGGGAAATGTTCCAGGACACATTCTTGGCTTGCTTTTGCCTTCTTTAAAAAAAAAAAAAAAGAAAATCTGCAATTTAAATAAACTTCTGGACAAACCAGATATATAAAGTATGATTTCTAGAGTACAGAAGTAGAAAACCTCAATTAAAAAACAGCGTGTTTGTAAGCTGTGGGGTCTTCGGTGTCTCTGTCTTCTCATGTAGAACTTGCAGCTAAGTATTTATGGTTCAAGAAATGCTGCTCCAAAGGTGCAGATTAAAACAGAAGGCATTCTAAACCAGATGTGGCCACAGCTGTAGTCCTGGCATCCTAACACAGGTAGGAGCAGTGCCATTCGGAGGCCAGCCTGGATACATATTAAGTTTTAGGCCAGCCTGTGCTACAGTATGAGATGAGACCTTATCTCAAAAACAAAAACAAAAAAGTGTAAACCTTTTGGTATATAAATGTCTATTGCATAATAACAGTTCAGGCTGGCCTCTACCTCAAGCCCCTGTGTGCCAACATCACAGGCACAGGCTCCAGATGTGACTTCAGTGTTACTTCCAGATATTCTTTTTTTAAAAGATTTATTTAGTTATTATGAGTACAACATTCTACCTCTATGTGTGCCTGCACGCCAAAAGAGAGCACCAGATCTCATTACAGATGTTTGTGAACCTCCATGTTGTTGCTGGGAATTGAACTCAGGACCTCTGGAAGAGCAGTCAGTGCTCTTAACCTGTGAGCCATCACTCCAGCCCCCCAGATGTTCTTTTGGGGGTGGGGAGGAGGTTTCCAGCCAGGGTTTCTCTGTGGCTTTGGAGGCTGTCCTGGAACTAGCTCTTGTAGACCAGGCTGGTCTTGAACTCACAGAGATCCACCTGCCTGTACCTCCCGAGTGCTGGGATTAAAGGCGTGCGGCACCACCGCCTGGCTCAGATGTTCTTGTTAACATTAATTTTTTAGTGTTTCATTTCCCTTTATAGACTGAAAGGTGACTGTGTGCTCCTCAGAGCAGCATTTTCCTCTGATTTTAAAATATGTGCACACGCATGTATGAGAACCATCATAATGCTACAAACAGTGTCCAGTTAAATTCCAGTTCTGCTCTGGGGCACTGAAACATAAGCTCCTGAATATTAGAAATATGGAGAAATCTGTTATTGAGTAAAAACAGTTAGATGCAGGTTTATGTATACCTGTTTTATTTTGTTGATAATCTAGCTATAGATATACCTAGAAATGGGCATCTGTATACATAGGATTTTATATATAACAGTATTTCATGTTTTTCAAAGAAGTATAATTTTTACATATATTTGTGAAAATTCTAGAGTTTCTAAAACAAACGCACATTCCTTATTTTGCTAGAAAAACACTCTTGAGTGATGCCCCTAAATACTGAAGGCCTTAGTGTCTCTGCAGTGACCACATCACCCTGTCTCTTTCTCCAACCAGTTTGTAGGGGTCTGAGCAACCAGAGACTCTGATCTCTCAATTGTTTTTCTAAAATGTGTGGCAGGGGCATCAACATGATTGTCATTTCCTGCTCACCATGACCTCCTCTTGTTTCCCTCCATCTTTTCTTTTCTAGGAGAAGCTGTAGTAAATGTTTTAGACTTTAAGAAGGATGCTGGGCTGTGGCATGGCATGTTTGCGGTAAGCTGTCAGAGTTGGGGCCTTTATAGTAAGATGTGCCTGAGGCTGAGGCTCTGTGACAAGTGAAGTTTGTGCCAGATAGGGACCCTCTCTGTCTGTCTGTCTCTCGTTCTCTCTCTCTCTCTCTCTCTCTCTCTCTCTCTCTCTCTCTCTCTCTCTCTCTCTCTCTCTCTCTCTCTCTCTCTCTCTCTCTCACACACACACACACACACACCATCCAACAGAATCACAGCAGGCTTGTTTACTCTGCTGTACCAGATCTCTGGGTGTTGCACATCCTTGATATGGATGACAGGAGGTAAGAAAATGCCTGGCCCTCAATTCTCTCAGCTTTATCTTTTACAAATGCTTAGCCGATAGGAAACTAGGAAACTAATTAATCTTTTGCTCTGTAGTGCTGTCCCATTTTCACCCCCTTTCCCTTATCCTATAGTATGTGGCAAGCAGGAGCACCATCGAGCACTAAGTGGGTTGGGGAACCATTTAGTAGTATCCGCTAATTCTCTAAAAGCAGGGACTTTGTGACCTAGCAGGGCTTCTCTTCTTTATCTGCCTTAAATAAACAGTTGTGTACATGCTAGTGGATGTGAGTGCAAATGCATTGCTTCCACACTGATTATGATGTACAGCCATGCAAAGGGAGCTAGGTAGCCCCCTGGTTCTAACGTGCACAGATCTATCTGTGAAACAATAGAAGTAAAAAGCAGCCAGTGGTTGATACATGTATACTATCATGTCTTTCATTTATATGTCCATGCATGGGGCTGGGACTAGAGGGATAGGTGTCATCACTGTGATGCCCTGGGAGAGGAAGGAGAGCTCCAGGGAGCTCATGTTGGCATCTCAAGTATTGTTTTTGAAAAGGTGAACTTGAGTAATACCTCTGTAACATTGTTAGCAGAATATCAATACAGCTTCAAGGTGTTAAATACACGTTTTGTATTGATTGCTTTGTATGTTTGCTTTCAGAATGTAATGAATAAGATGCATACAATTAGCGTACCCTACTCTGTTATGAAGACCTGTCCTCTCTCTTGGGTCCAAAGGGTCCATGCCCACAAAGGTAATCACACACGTCCACATGTTAATTATGAGACTAATGGAAGCATGCCTCTGTAGAGAAACAGTTCTTTGCCTTGGTGGCTTATCTAATTTTGAAGTTGTTATTGTAGGTAAGCTGTTTGCCTTATTTCATTGTGTTCTTTCTTGCAAATTGAATTCTCTGGAATTTGAGGCATAGTTAGCTCTATTCAGTGCTGTGTTGTCAGAGTTTCCTTGACTGTGACCTGTGGCTGAATATGATGCTTGCTTACCCCAAGTGAGAACTATTGCTAAATAAGTAAAAATGTTCTTATGGTAATATATTAAATTTATACCCAAATTAAGCATGTATATGTGTCGTAACTTCCCCCCTTTGCATTTGTAGCCAAAGTAGCTCTCGTGAAGTGCCGAGATTTACACTGGGCCATGATGGCACATCGGGACCAAAGGGATGTGAGCCTGAGTTCTCTCCGGATGCTGATTGTCACTGATGGCGCCAATCCTTGTGAGTACTGGGTGTAGAAATCCCAGAACATGTGACAGGCAGGGTGTTTTGCTCCTTTTCTTTTTTTTTGGTTTTATGAGACAGGGTTTCTCTGTATTGTTTTGGAGGCTGTTGGTCCAGCCCGGCCTTGAACCGCCTGCCTCTGCCTCCTGAGTGCTGGGATTAAAGGTGTGTGCCACCACTGCCCGGCTGTTTTGCTTCTTTTCTATGAGCTTTTCTGTTTTCAATATCCATATTGAAATGTCATATACAAGTGATGACACTTGTCTGTTTCAAGGGTCCAAGTCAGTGGTGTGGTGTGTTTGTAGGTGTGTATCTATCACCACAATTGAAGCTCCGAACACTTCTATTCACCTGAGAGAAACCATGCTCTTGCTATTTGTCACTCTTCATCCCCTAAAGTGCCCCTCAACCCCAGACAATCATGACCTTCCTTCCTCTAAGGACAAAAAAGATTTAAAAAGTGTGTGTGTGTGTGTGTGTGTGTGTGTGTGTGTGTGTGTGTGTGTGCGCGTGCGCCACATGTGTGCAGGTTACCTTAGAGCCCAGAAGAGGGTGTCTGTCCCTCTGAAACTAGAGTTACAGGTGTTTGTGAGCGCCTGACGTTGGGTCTGGCAACAGAACTTAGGTCTTGGTGAAGAGCAGCAAGTGCTCTTCAACTGCTCGTTCTCTCTCTCTCGCCCCTCCCCCATTGTGTCTGTAGATTGGCCTGCTCTGCATACTTGGTATGAAGCAGTCTTGTTATGTTTAATGATAGACATGTAGTCTATCATAGACACACCATGTTTGTTTATCCATTCATCTCTTGGTAGACTTACAAGCTCTTTGAAACCACGCCTTGCTTATGTAAATCCTCCACGTGAGGCTCTTAGGTGCAAGGAGAGGTTGGATGTGACTTGATAATATATATGAACTTGGTGTAAATTCTTCCAATCAGCAAATAAAGGGAATTTGCAAGAAACTTCTAGAGATCTTACTGTGCTGTCTGCCTTTCTGGATAAGCACAGAAATGCTGGTCCTCCACTCAGGGGACTCTGGAGCACTGGAAGCTGTGCTCATTCTCTTAAGTGAACTTTCATCCTGCCTTAAAACACACATGGAGAACTCATGAAGCAAGAGTTAGGATGTCACTGAGAGCAGGTGGGGCTGCCATGGCTGCGTTGCCCTGGCTACCGTGGTTACTTCAGGAGGGCTGCTAGAGTCCCACCTGGTTGCATATTACCTACAGTGTTGTCTCTGAGCTTGTTCTGTCCTCTTGGTAGGTGTAGCCTTTCCAGGTTGTAACTGTAGGTACTGTCAGGGACATTTCATGTGTTGGATGATGTCAAGCCCCCTCGAAGGTACAGTAAGCTGTGCACAGAATGACTGATGTACAGTGTGAGTTCTGACCCACAAATATGTCATACACACACACCCCCATTAGTTTCCTGCAATAAGGAAAATGGTCATCTGAGCTTTTAAGTTGATCTTTTCCAACTCCGTAGGGTCTGTGTCATCCTGTGATGCCTTTCTGAGCCTGTTCCAAAGCCACGGACTGAAACCTGAGGCCATCTGTCCATGTGCCACGTCTGCTGAGGCCATGACTGTAGCCATCCGCAGGTACTGTTCGAGGTGTCAGCTTCCCTTCATGACTGTCACAGCCTGCATGAGTTTTTCCCAGTGATGAAGAAGGAGTTTTAAATGCTTCATAAACCTGAAAGTTGGGGCTGGAGAGATGGCTCAGCAGTAAGAGCACTGTCTGCTCCTTCAGGGGACCTGGGTTCAATTCCCAGCTCCCACCTGTGTGTAACTCCAGTTCCAGGGCTTCTGACACCTTCACACAGACATACATGCAAGCAGAACACCAATGCATGTAAAATAAAAATAAATTATAAAAGAAAAACCTAAAAGTAGAATTTACCTAGTAAAGGCATTTCAGACATCTCATCCTTTTTCTTCTTCTTGCCAGAAGAACACCAAGAAACTGAAATTTTATGTAATTGTTCTTGTCTCATATTTGAGTTATTTTTCTATGTTGCTTATTCCTCAGACTCCTTTGCATCTTAACTTAGAAGTAGGCTGTTCTCAATCGTACCTTAGAAAACACGTAGAAAATTTGCCTTAATAGTACACCCCACACTAGCATAGCCTTTTCTCTTTAAAGAAAAGTGTCTGTGTTGTGTGTCTGCAGACACCAGGATTGAAGTGGGCAGGGTGCTCATGAGTAAAGGCCAGAAGAGGGTGTCAGCTGTCCCATCACTCCCTGCCTTTTCCTCTGAGGCGGAGTCCCTCCCTAAGGCTTGCCTCTTGGCTAGGCTGTAAGTTAGCCAGCCCTAGTGATCCTCTTGCTTTGCACCCCTGACCTAGAATAATAGGCATTTTGGGGATTTCTGCTTGTTACATGGGATGCTAGGACCCAGACTGGTCCTCATGATTTTGGAGCAAGTGCTTCCCTCCCTCCCTCCCTCCCTCCCTCCCTCCCTCCCTCCCTCCCTCCCTCCCTCCCTCCCTCCCTCCCTCCCTCCCTTCCTCCCTCCCTCCCTCCCTCCCTTCCTTCTTTCCTTCCTCTGAATCTCACTGTATAGTCCATGCTAACCTAGAACTTGCAGTGATCCAGCTGCCTCAGCCTCTCAAGTACTGAATTGCAGCATGAGCCGTCATACCTGACTGTTTGTTTTTAATTTCCTCAAAAATAATTTGTGTGTGTGTGCATATGTATGTATATGTTTGTGCACACATACTACAGCAGGTGTGTGGAGGTCAGAGGACAGCTTGGAGGAATTGATTTTTATCCCTCTGCCAGGTGGACTCGGGATCAAACTCAAGTCATTAAGCTTTCATGGCAAGAACCTTTAGCCACTGAACTATCTTGTCAACCCCTCATGTGTTTTCCATTTATTTATATGCATGTGTGTTTGTATAGACCTGGTTTGATTTATTTTGTTTTTTTCCTTTTTTTTTTTTTTTCTTTGTTCACATTTAGGCCTGGGGTTCCAGGGGCTCCCTTGCCAGGAAGAGCCATTCTATCAATGAATGGACTGAGCTATGGGGTAATACGGGTCAATACTGAAGATAAAAACTCAGCACTGACAGTCCAGGATGTGGGACATGTGATGCCTGGGGGTAAGTTGTGAGAGGTGTTACTGAGATTTCATAAGATTTGCCATCAGAAATAGTGGTGCTGTGCTGGGGAGGTAGCTTGGTGGTGGAAGGCCTGCCTGGGTTCCATCCTCAGTCCCAGGTGAAGAGGTTAGGAAACAAGAGGAGAAACAGAGGGCTGAGGAGCAAGAGGTCCAGATCTGGAAACCCAGTTTCATTGCTCAGTCACATCCTTTCGGCAAGCCGCTCCGATGGTGAATGGGAATCGTTATGCTGGCCCTGCACTGATGCCGTATGGGTTGTCTGTATGGTTGTGTAATTACGCTCTTCATGTGGAAGGGTGTGAGTCGCTGTTCTCGATGCAGTTGCCAACCCAGGAAGGCAGAGCGTGCTGCTCTTGTGGGTGCTTCTCTGCCCCTGTGGAAGGCCAGCCTCTGCTTCATCGCCAGGCTGTTGCCATCCTTTCTCCATGCACCGGTGTAAGAGCTGCAGGTGCCAGGTAGACGTCACAGGGTCATGGTGCTCTGTGGCACTTCTGTTAGCTGTTTTTTTGTTTGTTTGTGTGTTTTTTTGTGTTTTTTTTTTTTTGAGACAGGGTTTCTCTGTATTGTTTTGGAGGCTGTCCTGGAACTCGCTCTGTAGACCAGGCTGGCCTCGAACTCACAGAGATCCACCTGCTTCTGCCTCCCGAGTGCTGGGATTAAAGGCATGCGCCACCAACTGTTGGCTGTTCTTAATGCAACTCCTCTGGGTTTGAAAACACAGTTGTTACTTTGCTGTTTTCTAGACTCTGTCATGTTTTTTGTGCACTAGGCATGATGTGCATTGTGAAACCAGACGGACTTCCTCAGCTCTGCAAGACAGATGAGATCGGAGAGATCTGTGTTAGCTCCAGGACTGGAGGGATGATGTACTTTGGACTTGCTGGTGTGACCAAAAATACATTTGAGGTACATGATGTTATTTCATGGGGATATGTTTGGTGAGGTCAGATGTTACTAGGGAGACCTGCTGGCTGATGGCACAGCATAGCTTAGTGTTGAGATCAAGTCTTCAGGCATCTAGTGCCTAAGACCAGATTCTACTCCACCATTCATTGGCTGCTGCGTGAGCTGCCCAGCCTTACTGAGTGCCCAATTCCTTTATCTTACGGTATGACTTGTAGCCAGGCATTGTTGGCAGTTGTAGCATTTGGGAGCCTGAGTCAGAGGACTGTGAGTTCAAGGTCAGCCTGGGCTGATTAAAGGACCTTGTTTCAGAAAACACCAAGCAGAACAAAGTGACTAGTAACAGTGCCTTCTTGTGGGCTACTCTGAACACTAACTGAATGAACATTTACTCATGCATTAGATCAGCTCTGGCACGTTGGAAGTAATGTGGTGTGCCTGGTGGATATTACAGGGAATGAGGCTTCACAGATTTGCCATTGTTAGAGCTTTGTAAGTTCAAGATTTTGCCTTTGAGAGTCCTATGACAATTGCATTCGCTGCTCAGATCACTGATACAGACACAGACCTGGGAGATGGCATAGCACCTGTCATGGAGGCATGAAAGCTGAGTTGAGATCCCCACAAGCCAGGCGCTCGTGGAAGCTGCCCTGGTACGTAGGGAAGCCGCTCAGCAGACTAGCAGATTTGGCAAGAAAACTCCCAACATTGACTTTGAGCTTCACCCACATGCGTTCACATGCATGTGCACATGTACACATACAAAAAGACTTAACCTGTTGCAGGGATCAGATTGCTCCTCAAGCAGGTACTCACTGATTCTTCTCTGTACCTACTCTGTTCTGGGTGCTGAGGCTCTATAGGACAAGTGAGGCTGGGGTAAAGCTTGTATTATAGAGGAGGAAGCATTTTCTAAGGAGACAGTGCATGGCCATCCTGAAGGCATTCTGCTTGCAAAGCTGAGCTGTAATGAGAAGTTGCCCTGGGGAGCCTGTGCATTAGAACAGGTGGTCAATTGTCTGGGATACCTTTTAGGGACCAGAGAGATTCGCTGGATGGATTGTGGTTCCCTTACACTAGATGTTTCTCAAAATGGTAGGACAGTGTAGAGTAAGTCTGCAGACATCAGGAGCTGTACTTCAACCACTCTGTTTGGAAATAGGTGCATGCTACTGTGTGCACTAGCTGTCACTGGTGACAGCATGCCCTCTGTGTGGCAGTGCATCTGTGTTATTTGTCTCTCTGTTTACAACACCGTTCTTTTTGCTGACTCACTGTCTGGTTTAAGTATATGTACATTTTATTGTCCTCAGTCTCTCCATTCCTTCTTCCCCATTCTTACCATGCTGGGCATTCAGGACAAGTCCCTGTGCACGCTAAACATACACTCTACTATTGAACTGCCTTCACGGTCTCTGTTTTGCCTTCTTTAAAATTTGTTTTTAGACAATATCTCCCTCTGAAGCCCAGATTGCCCCAAACTTGATAATTCTCCTGCCTCAGCCTTCTGAGTTGATGGGACTTTAGGGGGGAACCACCATGCCCAGTTTATGTTTCTAAATAAATTTTTTTAAAAATCTTTGGGCTGGACCAATAGGCTCCGAAACAACACAGAGAAACCCTGTCTCGTAAAAACCAAAAAAAAAAAAAAATCTTTGTTTCGTGTGTGTGTGTGTGTGTGTGTGTGTGTGTGTGTCTGTGTTGGTGTCTGTGTGTCTCTGTGTACACGATCTTGTGCATGTGGAGATCAGAGGACAGCTTGCAGGAGTTTGTTCTCTCCTTCTATGTGGGTTCTGGGAATTAGACTCAGGTCATCAGACATGGTAGCAAGTGCTGCAACCTACTCAATCCCTTGGCAGCCCAATCTTGTTTTTAAGTGCTTGGACTATATGTATCTCTAGAGCTTGTAATGCTTGTCATGATATCTTTCTTACTGAGAAGATCCTTGCTATTTGAGGTTGTGTCTCACTGAGTATTCTGACAAGCCTCAGACTTATTATCCTTATGTATTAGTCTCTTGAGAAGATGGTGTTATAGGCACATACCACTACATCTAGCTTCAAGCAGAATTGTACTATTGTGTGTGTGTATGAGGGAAAGGGAGAGACATGAGGGGGAGAGAGAGGAAAGATGGGGAGAGGGGAGGGGTAAGAAATTGCTACAGCTGCACATGTGTAGAGGTCAGAAGATGACTTGGGAGTCAGTTCCCTCCTTCCATTTTGTGGTGGCTCTTAACCACCGAGCCATCTCTTCAGCCCCTACCCCGCTTTGTTAAGCAGGGCCTCTCTTGTTCCTGCTGCAGTGTGTATTTCAGGCTAGCTGGCCACTGGATAGACTTTGTGGTCCTGTGTCTGTTTCCTCCTTCCTGTAGCAGTGCTGGATTGTGTGAGTTTGCATCTGGCTCATTATATAGGTCCAGAGATTGAACTCAGATCATCAGGCTTTCAGGGAAAGTGCTTTTGCCTAATGAGCCATCTTGCAGGCCTTCAAGCAGTATTTGAAGATAATACGGGACGCTGCGTGCCTAGAATTCTTACACATCTTTGGTGGTGCTTGCAGTACTAGCCAAGGGTGCTACTGCTGAGATGCATCCCCAGCCCATGAAAGCTGTTTGACTTAGTGCGGTATCAGGATCACCTGTGCAGACAGACTGCACTCTAGCCATTGTGTCCTTAAAACTGGCCCTGGTCAGGCACCCTACACACCTCTCCAAATCCGTGTGCACTGCTTTATCTTACATAAGCTCAGAGGAGGATCTGAGAGCATTCTTTCATAACTGAGAGGAACTTGAGGCTCAGTGCCATATTGACTTGACCAAAGTCTACATTATCAGTAAACTGACTCCCAAGAGTTTTCTGTCCTATCCCTGTGAAATGCTCTTATTATACAACTGTCCTAAAGCATGGGCTAGACCAGTTACTGTCCAATGGGAAGACTTTCTAAAATAGATTATGAAAGATGTTAGTAATATATGTATAGGTATATATCCTTTTTATTTTTTAATACCTTGTTTTTATTTGTATGTATATGATATGTGCCTTTGTGGGTGTGTCTGTGTGTGTTCATGTGCTCTGTATGTATACATGTGCATGTGAAACAGTTCACATGGGACGTCTTCCTCTGACCCGCTCGCTCCATCTTGTTCATGTTTGCTTGTCACTTAGGTTTTAGGAGCTGGCCAGGAAACCACTGGAGCTCCTGCTATTTGCCCCTTCCTGCAACTTTCTCTGTGTGTGCTGGGATCAGAACTGTGGCCCTCATGTTTGCACAGCATGTACTCACTGAGCTGTCACCCCAACTCTGCGGCACCTGTTTTGACACACTTAGTTATGTCAATCTATATAGCTCATGCTCATGGGCCATGAGATGACACGGTTGCTAAAGGCATTTCACATACTGCCTAATGTGTTATGCCCACAATCCACATGGTGAAAGGAGAGACTTGACAGTTGCCCTCTGACCTACATATATGTGTGGTGACACGTGGGTGTGTGCACAAACACAAAAAATAAATTAACATAATAAAACATTAAGTATGTATATGATCTTTTTCAAAGTCTAGAGAGATAAACAACAAACACTGAAATGGTTGAGAGTCCTGAATTTGTTGCAGAATATGGCTTCCAATAAGCATATTACACACATACACACACACACATTTACATGTACACACGTGCACGCACACGCGCAAATCTGGGGTGTTTTTTTTTTTAAGTAAGACTTTTTAAAAATCAGATACATTTTTGGGAAAACTAGCCAAACTTTTCATCTTTCTCTTTTGTCTTTTAGGTGATTCCTGTGGCCTCTTCCGGCTCTCCTGTGGGAGATGTGCCCTTCATTCGGTCAGGGCTGCTGGGCTTTGTAGGGCCAGTAAGTGATGACTTCCTGTTGATTTGCTACATGTGATCCAGATATTTGGACTTTAATTCACAGAACTGAACAAATGCTGAGTAACAGTGCCTCTTATCAGCAATCACAATTCTTCCTCCTTTTCCTGTCTTCAGACAGGGTCTTAACTACACAGTTCTTACCGGCTGTCCTGAGCTCACAGAGACCTGCCTCTGTCTCCTGAGTGCTGGAATTAAGAGTGTGCACCACCACACCAGGCACTTAAGTTCTATTTAGAAGATTATGTAAGAATGTCAGAGGAGCTGGACAGCTAGGCGCATGCCTTTAGTCCCAGCAATCAGGAGGCAGAGGCAGGAGGATCTCTGAGTTCCAGGCCAGCCTGATCTACAGATTGAGATCCAGGACAGTTGGGTTACACAGAGAGACCCTCTCTCAAAAAAGAAAAGAAAAGAATAGAATTTGTTAACTGGCCCATGGTATTTGCAGGTCTAGAGATGACTAGGACCCAAGAAGCCTGTTCTCAAAGGGGATGTGGTTTTCTTGAGGAATCTAAGAGGATGGCAGAGGCCAGGCCATGGGAAGTGGTGAGGGGTCTCTATCCTGTAAACTCATCTGTTGCTGGCTCCTTCCTACCCCCTCTCCTGCTCTCCACTGCTCAGCTCATGTGAGAGCATATGGAATTGACCTTGGCCCCGCCTTCTCCCCTGTGGGGTTTGGGTGTGGAGAATCGCGCTCTTAGAAAGCACCCACACTGGGTGTAGCCTCAGCCATATTGACCTTTTGCCTCCACCAGAACAATTTCAGATGCCCGAGTCTTCAGCTTACTGCTCTACTGTTGGGGTCTGGGATGGAGCTTTAGCCACCTCTGAAACAGACAGACTGTAGCCCTGCTCTCTAGGAAGACACCCTAAACCCATAATCTGGTTATGTCTGGTCTGAACTAGTCCCATGGCCAGACCTAGTTACAAGAAAGGGGAAGACAGAAAGGCTATGTCAGTTAAACAGTGTTACTGTGAAAGAATAGGAGAAGCAGGCATTTGTCTTTTCTCTTTTTCTTTAAAATTGCTTGTATTTTAAGTATGTGTGTATGCATGCATAGAGGAGTTGGATGCCCTGGAGTTGGAGTTATAAGAGTTGTGAGCCATGTGACATGGATGCTGAAAACCACATGCGGGTCCTTTTTAAGACCAGTACATCCCCTAACCACTGGGCCACATCTCTAGCCCCTCTTCTCTGACTGACACCACCAGCTCTTGACACAGTTGGAAGTGGCTGGCTCTCTCTGGCATTGTGGATGGGCCAGTAGATTCTGCCTTTCTGTCCTAGCCCGGTCACTGTGTGGCACTACACTGTGCTCAGAAAATTAATGAGTGACATTCAATGGAGATAACTGCTGGCTCATTGAGTGCATGTAAGTAGGCCAAGATGTGGGACTGGCCTGTGGAGTGCTCACACAGTGATGCTTTCTGGGCTGTGGTCCCAGTGGCCTGCTACCCTGCTGTCCTTCTGGGAAGAAAATAGGCAGCATTCTTAGGCCCTTTTCTCTATCTATTTCTGCTCTTGCCTAATGGAAACAGTGTTACCCTTACATGCTCAAAGCAACTATTTACATACTAAAACTTTTTGACTTCCCTCTTATTCCAGTAGTAAATGAAGTTACACGAACTAACATATACCCATGACTGGGAAAGTAAAAGATATGTGGTTGTCGTTTCTCCCTTGTGAAATTTACCCCTAAGAATATGAATGAATTCATCTCTTACAGACTGCAAGGCCTCAGTGGGTGCTGGCTAATGGCTCAGCCAAACCGGATGAGCTGAGTTCAGTTCCTAGGACACACATGGTGGAGGGGAGAACTGGCTCCTTGGAGCTCTCCTCTGACTCCACACGCATGCAGTGCCATGCCTGTGCCCACCCACATGTATACACATGAGATCACTAATGGATTTTTAAAAAAGACCTCATTGGCTCTAAAAATCACTTTCTTATTAATTCCAGACGGTTTCTTTAAAAAGGAAAGAAAGGAAGAAAGAAAGAAAGAAATCCAAGCTGAGTGGTGGTGGTATACACCTTTAATCCTATCACTCAGAAGGTAGAGGCAGGTGGGTCTCTGAAATCAAAGCCAGTCTGATCTATCTATAGAGCGAGTTCCAGGGCAGCCAGGGCCACACAGTGAGACCCCTTCTTGAAAATGAATGAATGACTGAATGAAACAAATCCATAAGTTATGACCTTCTTATAAATGCACACGATTTTTTGTTTGTTTTTTGTTGTGTTGGGGAATTGAACGGTATACACCGCCTTACAGGTATCTTTCTTAGCATTTTTTTTTCATTATGTGTGTGTGAGAGATTTACTTCAAAGCAGGAAATGTGAGTTGTCTGTCTTATATGGAAATGAAGGTAAATAAATCATCGTTAATTTTCAGGGTAGCCTGGTGTTTGTGGTTGGAAAAATGGATGGATTACTCATGGTTAGTGGCCGGAGACACAATGCGGATGACATTGTAGCTACAGGACTGGCTGTGGAGTCCATCAAGACTGTCTATCGAGGAAGGTGAGTGCCGTGACATGAGTGCCACCACCTTGGGCTGATCTGAGATGCGCTCTGTCGTTGCTTCTTCCACTATTAGGTTAGCTTGGGTTAAAATAACAGAAGCCTGGCTTTAACTATATATCCCACAGTGTTTGGCACTGAGTGACTGAGGGGGATGAGGTGTGTATCAGAGTCTGTTAGTCTTTGTTGAGTTTTGAAGACTGAGGAGAACTGAAGATAAAACTTCCCATCTTCTATAGTTTTTCAGTGCCGAGATGGTGCCATCCAGGCTAGTGAAGCTAGGTGTCACTATGTAGAAGTACACAGTTAAGAATTCTTCCTTTCATTTATATTTTCTGTGTGGAAATTAATAGTTCAGCTTAGTATTGAGAAGTCCAGGTCCTGTGGACAAAGTCAGGCCTTTTCTCTTGCTTACTAATGTAGCAAGAGGCATTCTAGCCGTTCATTTTCAGGCAAGTGTCTGGTATGGTTATCTTTCCACAAGAGCGTTTTCATGCGCATGTATGATGTGTTTGGAGCAAATGCCTCCTTATCCCTCCTATCCTGACCTGGGTTACATAAGAAGTAAGAAAATTTGAAGACATCACAAAAGAACCAGTTCCTGAATTGTGTGGTTTTCTGTAACAGTGTGGCTCTTAGGAGTGGAACTTACTGGGCCCTTGACCCACTGTCTATGGTCACAGTTGTGTCCTCAGTGCACAGTACAGTTCCTGGCACATAGTTAATATTCCATAACTGCTGTGGGTGGGAGGGAGTGGGCGGGCCATTTGGTTTCATTGGCTCTCCAGTTATTTCCCATTCTTCCTGCGTTCATTCAATAAATACTCACGGGGTGCCAACTACACACTGCTTTTCCAGGTACTTAGGCAGTGAATGACACAGGTTGTGTGTGTACCCTCACATTTCTCATGACAAACACAGGAACCAGGCACATGGCAACACAGATGACACGTGAAAGGGTTGTGAGTGCCATGGAGTGAACACCTGAGGTTGTCTGGTCTGGGAACGCCTCACTAGTAAGGGGACATTTGAGCGGAGACCTCCCTTAGATCCAACTCCATCCCCCCCCTCTCTCGGCCGCGGTCTCCCGCAGTCTCCCTTGCCTGTGTCTGACTTTCGCTTCACTCTCTGCTCCACCACTCTGCTCCAGGCACACTGGCCTTCTTGCTGTTCCTCAAACCTGCCAAGCTCGTCCCTACCTCAGAACCTTTCCGCTTTCCGTTCCTTCTGCCCGGAATCCTCTTCCTCCAGATCTTCGCGTGGCTCGCGTCCTCACCTCATTCAGGTCTCTGCTCCAGTGTCCACTCCCCAGGGAGGCGCTCCTCCAAGCACCCCATCCCACTCCTCTGGGCACCCCACACCGCTGGCCCCGCACAAGGCACTTCCTGGTGCACATCACAACGTGGCTTCATTATCTATGTGTTGATTGGTTCTGTCTCTGACATGTAAGCACCACAAAGATAGGAGCTATGTCTTGTTTACCACTCTGTGGTGCTTAATCCATATTGTTTTTGTTTTTGTTTTAAGTGAGTCACTCAATCCTGGTTTGGTGATAATCACGCATTTTCTCTCTACTGTTCATGTCTGGGTGGTATGTTGGGATGGCACCTCTTTGATTCCAACTCAGGAAAGCAAACAGGATGGTTTTGAAGGGAAACTGATGTGTTTGATCTGTCTCTCTTAGAATTGCTGTGTTTTCTGTGTCTGTGTTTTATGACGAGCGCATTGTGGTGGTGGCGGAGCAGAGACCTGATGCGTCTGAGGAAGACAGCTTCCAGTGGATGAGCCGCGTGCTGCAGGTGAGCGTGGGCCTGTGCACTCAGAGGCAGCTGCAGCTGCTGGCTACCAGATGTGCTATCTAGAAATTACCTTTGAGCTGGGTATGGTGGTGCACTCGGGAGGCAGAGGCAGGCGGATCTCTGTGAGTTCAAGACCAGCCTGGTCTATAGGAGCTAGTTCCAGGACAGCCTCCAAAGCCACAGAGAAACCCTGTCTCGAAAAACCAAAAAGAAAGAAAGAAAGAATTTTGTACACATAGACAAATGAAATATGTTCATGCCCACTCTCCTTTCCCCACCCTCCCAGTTTCTTCATATCTCTCTAAATACCTATTTCTATCATGTCCAAGTGTTTGCTACCCATGAAGGTTTTGACTGCCCACATGCGACATGCATCTCTGAAAGTGATCATTTGTCAGTAGTTAGCCTCAGACTTAGCATACTGTGTGTGTGGCGGGTCCAGGAACCTTACTCTTTATGTAAGGGAGCTTTTCTGTGTGGTTAGAGGAGCGAGGTGGATGAGCCTTGAGGGTGGAAAAAGACTGGTTTCAGTGTTGAGAATGCGTTTTCAGTGGACGCGGGCTAGAAGAGTGGGCAGAGCCAAGTCTCCATCTAGATTCATGAGTTTCAGTCTCTTTACTGTGAATGTAAGCAAGTGACTTGACTTCAGAGCTGTTCCCCTACCTGTAAAGAGGGGGCAAAGTCTTTCTAGAATGAGTTTTTCCAGTGAGATCACCAATGACGTGCATAGTCTGCACTCAGTAGACAGTGGTGACCTTTTTAATACAGAATGATGATAACATTACCCATTGTGAGTCCCATGTAGGCTGGGATTTCTCTGTCCTTTTTGTTCTCCACTTGGCCCCCAAGAGCCTGACAGCTATGCTAGCTTGCAGTATAGTAAGATCTAAAAGTATCTGTTGACTAAATGCACAGTCCGGAGCAAGCTGACCTGCCTTCCCAGTGACAGCTCATGTGTTACTGGAAGCATTTCCAGAACATGTGACTTCTCTGCTTAGGTGACTTGGCCTTCTTAACAGTCTCTTAGTAACATAGAAATGATGTAGACACAAAACGAGAGACAGCACCAGATAACTTCAGATTTCTTTCTGTTCTCAGAATGTGTTATTCTAAATTATTAGCTAGTCCACAGGTAGGCTGTTTATAGCATAAAAATGAAAGGAAGTGGCAGGTGTGGTGGCACATGCCTCTAATTCCTGCACTCAGGAGGCAGAGGCAGGGGGATTTCTGTGAGTTCAAGACCAGCATGGTCTACAAAGTTCCAGAATAGCCAGGGGTATTACACAGAGAAAACCTGTCTCACAGAGCCGGGCGTTGGTGGTGCACGCCTTTAATTCCAGCACTCGGGAGGCAGAGGCAGGCGGATCTCTGTGAGTTCGAGGCCAGCCTGGTCTACAAAGTGAGTTCCAGGACAGCCTCCAAAGCTACAGAGAAACCCTGTCTCGGAAAAAAAAAAAGAACTAGGTATGGTGGCACATGTGTTTTATACCGTATCCCAGCACTCTGGAGGCAGGTCTCTGTAAGTTGAGTTCCTGGACATTGAGGGCTACATAAACAGACCCTGTCTCAAACAAAACAAAAAATCAGAGGACATAATCTGAATATAAACTAGGCTGAAAATACTATAAAAACTGTAGGAATGGTCTGATACCTGGTTATGTGAAAGGTAGACATGCAAAGATTCATGTTAGTCAGGAGTGGCAGCCCATGCTATAATCCCAGCACTTGGAGAATTTAGAGTTCAAAACCACCACTGTGAACTACATAGTAAAATGTTGTCACAAACAAACAATAGTAAGGCCTGGAGAGATTGATCATTGGGTAAGAGCACTGGCTGCTCTTCCAGAGGACCTGGGTTGGATCCCCAGCCCCCAAGCTGATTATCCTCTGTAACTCCAGTACTCCCATGGACACCAGGCTTACATATAGGCAAACATTCATGAATATAAAATAAACATAATTTGATAATGGCACTTGCAGTGCAAGCCTGATGATGTCAGTTCAATTCTTGGGACCCATTTAAAGGTGGAAATAGAGAAAGATTCCACAGAGCTGCCCACTGACCTCCACAGGAACACTGAGGTGTGTGATGTGCACACACACAATCATAGTGGCACCCCCATATCCACCCACATCTTTTCTCTTTTTCTGATTCTCTTTGATATTCATCAAGTTAGTTCTTATCAAAATTGACTGTAGAGATTTTTTGTTTGTTTTGTTTTGTTTGGGTTTTTTGAGATAGAGTTTCTCTGTGGCTTTGAAGGCTGTCCTGGAACTAGCGCTTGTAGACCAGGCTGTTCTCGACTTCTCTGAGATCCGCCTGCCTTTGCCTCCCGAGTGCTAGGATTAAAGGCATGCGCCACCAACGCCCGGCTAACTGTAGAGTTTTTAATGTGGTAAGAGAGCACAAGTTACCAACATAAAGAGTTTATCTGGTGAGCCCTCATCCTCATTCCATTTTCCTGGACAAACATACATCCTGGGATGGATAGAGAACACCTTGCAGTAAAATAGTTGGCTCTCTCAGGATATATCAAATGTCATCAAAGTAATCTCCCTGAATGTTTTTCTTTGTGTTTTTCCAGGCAATCGATAGCATCCATCAAGTAGGTGTCTACTGTCTTGCTCTGGTGCCTGCCAACACATTACCAAAAACTCCACTAGGAGGGATCCACATATCTCAGACGAAACAGCTCTTTCTTGAGGGATCTCTACACCCGTGTAATATCCTCATGTGCCCACATACGTGTGTGACGAACTTGCCCAAACCCCGACAAAAGCAACCAGGTAACAAACATCTAGCTTTTAGCCATGACATTGCAATGTGACTTCCAGAAGCCAGAGTCTTTGAGTGTGATGCTGCTTGGCCTTAGACTCTCCAGAGCTAACAAAGCATTGCACACGCTGACCCACGGCCAGGAAGATTGCTGCCCTGCGGGCACACTGCTCTGGCAGACGTTTCTTCTCTTCTGGGTTTGCCACCATGATCAGAGTCCTCTGGTGACAGGAGCAGCTGGTATCCAGCTAGTGCTCATTAAGTGCCATGTGCTGGCTGTGCATGTTACATGTGTGGTTCCAAATGTGAGCCTATAAAGTCACATGGCTCGTTAGTGCAGAGCTGAGACTCACTCTTAGTGTCATTGTGACATACTAGCTTGCTATGGGATCTCATGCCTAGCATTTCCCCTCCTTCCCTCGAAGCTACTGGAGTTTGGTGTGGACCTATCTTACCTCTGAGGAACAGGTGTTTTCTGAATTATAAGTAGAAGATAAACAACATGCTTTGTGTTGGCCATTTTCAAGATATGAACCAAAGGAGTATGAATTGCCATTTGGAAAAGAGAAAAAACACAAATCAGATTTACCTTCTTGCCTGATTTCTGAGCCAAAGCTGGTCACAGGACTCAGAAAGCTAAGGCTCTGATTGTAAATGATTGATAACAGTCTGGTGTACATAGTAAGTTCCAAGCCATCCAGGGCTACATAGTGAGGCCTAGTCTCAATGAAAGAGTTGAGGAAGGAACTTAAAACTGGCATGGCCTTCTAGATTGTGCCAACACTTTTGTATTATAAAAGAAGGTAATGAGAAGCCCAGTTAGCTTCCTGTCTGTGTGGAAACATCAAAGCCAAAACTGGTCTCTTCAGGTACATGCTGCCCTTACCCAGTGTGGATTAGCCTTCATATGAGTTGAGGAAAAAGAAGACAAAAATGGAAGGATTAGAAAGGAAAGTGTATCACTTAAGTATACACACACACACACACACACACACACACACACACACACACACACATACATACATACGAAAGGTGAGCAGCATGTACGGTAATGAAGTAGGGGTGCTGTCCTTTAACTCACAGAGATCTACCTGCCACTGTCTCCTGAGTACTGGGATTAAAGGCATGTGCCACCATTGCCCAGCTTTTAAATCTCTTTTATTTTATTTTTATTTTATGTGTATTAATATTTTGCCAGCATGTATGTCTGTGTGAGGGTGTCAGATCTTGGAGTTACAGACAATTGTTAGCTACCAGATGGGTGCTGGGAATTGAACCTGGGTCCTATGGAAGAGCAGTCCTCCTACCACTGAGCCATCTCTCCAGCCCTTCAATCTATTTTTATGTGTATCAGTATTTTGTCTGTATTTATGCCTGTGTATCACATGAGTGCAGTACCTAAGGCAGCCAGAGAGGGTGATATATCCTCTGGAACTGGGCTACAGCTGGTTGTGAGCCACCATGTGGGTGCTGGGAATTGAACATAGGTCCTCTATAAGAGCAACAAGTGCTCCTATCCCACTGAGCCAGCTCTTCAGACTCCAAAAGCTGTTTTTTGGTTTTGTTTGCTTGTTTGTTTTCTGTGAGTGCCTTCTAAGGCCACATAGCTATGAAGAAGATCAGTGCAGTTTGAAACTGCTGGCGCTGAGGAGTGAAGATGGTGAGGGAATGGAGTGGGAGTTTGAGGCTTGATAGAAATTCAGAAAAGTAGCAGCTGTAGAGATGGTTCAGCAGTTTAGAACACTGGCCTCTTCCAGAGGATGTGGGTTCAATCCCCAGCACTTACATGATTTCTCACGCTGTCTGGAACTCTGGTTCCAGGGCACCTGATGTCCTCTTCTGACCTCCTCAGATACAGCATGCACATCATGTCCAAACAGGCAAAACACCCATATACTAAAAATAACTAAATAAACAGATAAATATTTTTTAATTCAGAAAAGCAGAGAATTAGGAAAGAAAGAAAAAAGAGTTGATGAGTGCAGAGTCAGCCTTACTGAGATGCTGTTGCTGTTCCTCAGGTGTGCTCTGCCACTTCCCATCCTTTTCTTTTTTAACTTATTTTTGCTTTGTGTGTAAGAGTGTTTTGCCTGCATTTATGCCTGTGTACCATATGTGTGCAGAGGTCAGAAGAGGGCGTCAGATTCCTGGAACTGGTGGTTGTTAGCTACTGTATAGGTGCTGGTCCCCTAGTTCTCTTAATGGCTAAGCCATTCTTCTAGATTCTTTTTTGCTCTGGTGACTTGTCACCAAACTATTCTTATAGGTGTGCTACTTGACAATAACCCTAAAACTCAGTGCCTTGGAATTGCAGACATTTGCTTTTTTCATTCATGGAGTATGCATAGCTGCAGGTCACACTCTGAATTTGCCTGTGTGTTCTCTTTATGGGCTACTTTTTTTTTTCAGGAGTGGGTGAGCTTTGGCTTCAAACCCCAGCATCATTGCCTCAGCCTCCTTACTACTAGATTTGCAGGTCTGAGCCACCATGTCCAGTATGGACTGTAGTTTTCTCAGGACTGAAGCAGGATGTTTAGCCAACCCACACAAGCTTGGGTAGGATGTCTCTTTCTGTTACCACCTCCTACTCTTTCTTGTCTAGAGCAAGTCAGACCGTGCCCAACAAGTCAGTGTAGTCAAGTAGTCCTATGTAGGTACAGCAAGCAAGGAAGGAAGGCTCTGACAAAACAAAACTGGACATGAGCCTCTGTAGCAGGCTGTCTTGGGTCTGTGGGCTGACCAACCTCTGGCCCATGTTTCTGCATCCATGCTAGCAGAGAGAAGAAAAGTGTAGAGAGGAGAATTCCTTCTCCAAACAGATCTCATGGAAGTCACCTGTGACCTGCTCTTCCTTGTCTCAAACTAAAGAATGCAGCCTTTATTCCTGAGATGTGTACAGATAAACTGGGTTATCAGCTCTTGGATAGTAGAGGCAGGTGGATGTCTCTGAGTTCAAGGCCAGCATGGTCTACAGAGAGCTCCAGGCTAGCTGGGTTGGCACAGTAAGAATTTGTCTAAGAAAAAGAAGAAACAGAGAAGAAAACTGGTTGTGTTATTGAGGAAGAGAATAGTAGGGAAAGCGTGGTGTTGGCACAGGAAACTTTCAGAGCTGTGTTGGAAAGGTGAGGGAGTGTTTCAGTACAATAGTGTGAGGTAGCTCCTGGGAGCTGCCTTCCATTGACCCTTTCTCACTCTGACCCAGATGCTCAAGAACTGCACCCAGAAAACCCTTGTCTTACTTTCTGTTGCTGTGAAGAGACATCGTGACCACAGTAACTCCTATAAAGGGAAACATTTAATTGGGCTGGCTTACAGTTCAGAGGTTTTGTCTATTATCATAATGGCAGGAAACATGGAGGCATGTAGGTAGACCTGGTGCTGGAGAAGGAGCTGGCAACAGGAAGTGTCCCACACTGGGTGTAGCTTGAGCATGTGAGACCCCCACAAAGCCCATCCCCACAGTGACATAGTCCTCCACCCAGGCTACACCTCCTAATAGTGCCACTCCTATGTGCCAAGCATTTATACATACATACATGCATACATTCATACATACATGGAGAGAGTATTTGTGCACATGCATTATGGCACACATGTGGAAATCAGAGAACGAACTGCAGGCCTTGGTTCTCTCCTCACACCATCGGGTTCTAGAGATGGAACTCATATCGTCAGACTTAGTGGCAAACACATTTACCACTAAGCCATCTAGCTGGCCCAGTGCTACTCACATTTCTGTGAACTCAGTTCACATCCTGATGGGTACTAGATTTCTTTTTTTTTTTTTTTTTTTTCGAGACAGGGTTTCTCTGTATTGTTTTGGAGGGTACTAGATTTCTTACAGACCAAATATCCATTACTGGTAAGCACTCCTCTTAGGACTGTGTTGGTTGGAGCAAATAAAGCTGTTTGTGGGAACCCGTGGAACTGTGGACTCTGGAGTAAAATCATCCCTGTAGACACAAGCTCTGTAGCCACCTGTGCCTCGTCCCCTCATCCTGGGTCTCCTGTGTGTGTTTTATCTGTCTCTAGCACTTCCCACTGCCCAGCTTTGTCTGCCATGTGTATATTTTTTGGTTGCCTTTTTCAGTGGAATATAAGTTCTTTGGCCCTTGTCTAAGAGACCACATGCTCCCCCAACATTGCCGAATCAATTTTTGAATGAGTTTGAGTCAGGCTGGAAATGTTCTGGGAGCATGTAACTTGAATCACTGTTTTCAGAGTTGGTGTTTGCTTCTGTTCACAGGTGTAGGCCCTGCTTCTGTGATGGTTGGGAATCTGGTTGCTGGTAAACGCATAGCACAAGCTGCAGGAAGGGACCTGGGGCAAATCGAAGAGAATGACCTGGTAAGAAAGGTGAGTTCCAGACATGTCAGGATTCTACCAGTGAGCTCAGGACAGAGTGCAATGTGGGTGTCTTACATGGGTCTTGAAACTTGCTGACCTCACGTTCTTTTTTCTGCTTTGACTTTAGCACCAGTTCCTGGCAGAGATTTTGCAGTGGCGAGCCCAGGCAACTCCTGACCATGTACTCTTCATGCTCTTAAATGCCAAGGTATTACAAGTCATTTGCAGGACTGGAGAGTGTTTGCCTAGCATGGACAAGGCTCTGGGTTCTATCCCCAATACAGTGTTCCTGGACATGGTGATGCATGCCTATAATCCCAGTAGAAGCAGAGAGATGTGGAGTTGAAGATCATCCTCAAAGTACATATCTAAGCTGGGTGGTGGTGGCGCACACTTTTAATCGCAGCACTCAGGGAGGCAGAGGCAGGCGGATCTCTATGAGTTCGAGACCAGCCTGGTCTACTGAGCGAGTTCCAAGACAGGCTCTAAAACAATACAGAGAAACCTTGTCTCAAAAAACTAAAAAATAAAAACAGTACATATCTAGGTCACATGAGTATAGTAATTCATGTGTACTAAGAAAACGTGATGACATTAAGAAAGCAAGACTATAAATATGTTTGGTTTAAATCAATACTAACATATCCTAAATACCTGGGACATTGGGAAAGAAAAAAAATCCCACACCTGTCTTTTGCTACCAGGGATGTTTTCTCAAGTTGATAATTTACCCTCTGGAGTATACTGTCTGCTTGACTGTGTTTGTTTGTGCCTCTGTTTCTGTACTGAACTTCTCTCCACTTTTACCTCTTCTGTTCAAAAGGGAACTACTGTGTGCACAGCCAACTGCCTTCAGCTTCATAAGCGTGCAGAGAGGATTGCATCAGTACTTGGGGACAAGGGACATCTAAATGCAGGGGACAACGTGGTATTGCTCTACCCACCTGGTAAGTGTTGCATTAGTAAACTGGACTCTGAACTGTGTTATTAGATGACACTTACCAGGAGAGGATGGAAACTCAGGGCCACACCATCTACTAAGTACCACAGAGGACTGGTACTTTCCAACACCAAGGTACTCCATGTACATTTGCTAAGGTGTGGTCCAGGCTGCGTCCTGCATTGAGCAGTGTGATGGCTCTGCTGAGACACTGTCTATTTTGTATTCCCTTCTGTTTCCATCAGTGTCTACTTCATAAAAGGTCCTCAGGCCACACACGATAGCACACTGCTGAAATTCCAGTCCTCGGGTGGCAGCAGGAGAACTAGATATTCAAGATCTGTAAGAGTTATGTAACAAGTTACATAGACAGCCAGCACTCAGGAGGTTGAGGTAGTTAGATCTCTGTGAGTTAAGCCCAGCCTGGTCTACAGAGTGAGTTCCAGGCCATCCAGAACTAATGGTGCCATCTGCCTCAAAACAAACAACAAAGAGCCAGGCATGGGGGCACACCCTAACAATCCCACCCTTGGGAAGTAGAGGCTAAAGGACAGGAGTTCATACCAGCCTCACCTACACAGCAAGTTTGTCTCAAAAACAAAACAAGGAAAGGCTGAGGGGAAAGCTCACTAGGCTAAGTGGCTGCTACAAAAACATAAAAACCTGACTTTGGATTCCTGGCTCCCACATAAAAAGCAAGGCTTTGGACCAGTGAAGGGGCTTAGTGGGTAACAATGCGCTTGTCATGCCTGATGAGCTGGTGTTGATCCCAGAAACTCAGGGTAGGAGGAGAGGACCAACTCCTGAAACACACACACACACACAATTCATATATATATATAAAAAAATCCTGGGATGGTGGTATACATTAACATCATGCTGCAGAGGCAGAGACAGGTGGACCCCTCATGCTCAGTGACCAGCTAGTCTACTGAAATTGGTGAGTTCCAGGTTTAGTGAAAGAACCTATCTCAAAAAATAAGGTGGCCGGGCAGTGGTGGCGCATGCCTTTAATCCCAACACTCAGAGGCAGAGGCAGGCAGATCTCTGTGAGTTCGAGACCAGCCTGGTCTACAAGAGCTAGTTCCAGGACAGTCTACAAAACCACAGAGAAACCCTGTCTCGAAAAACCAAAAAAACAAAACAAAAAAACAAACAAACAAACAAAAAATAAGGTGAAGAGGCTGGAGAGATGGATCAGCAGTTGAGTTCTTGCCACTTTTCCAGGGGACCAGAGTCAGTTACCAACCCAGTGACTCACAGCCACCCGTAACTCTAGGTGTGATGCTCTATTCTGGCTTCTGCAGATATCCACATACACAGGTACATGCTTAGACAAAGACACCCACATGCACAGGTACATGCTTAGACACAGACACCCACATACACAGATACTTGCTTAGACACAGACATCCGCATACACAGGTACATGCTTAAACACAGACACCCACATGCATAGGTACATGCTTAGACACAGACACCCATACACACAGGTACTTGCTTAGACACAGATACCCACATACACAGGTACATGCTTAGACACAGACACCCACATGCACAGGTACACACTTAGACAGGCACACGTGTTGTAGAATAATCTTTCTGTACACTGTAAAGATGTGAGTTTGCCAACATGCCTTCTAATTGGTTTACTAGAGAGCTGAATGGCCAGTATCCAGGCAAGAAGAGGTTAGGTGGGGCTGCCCAAGCAGAGAGGAAAAAAAGAAGAGATGAATCTCGGCATCTCGGCATAGGAGAGAGGCCAGAGGAGACAGAGAGGAAGCAGGATATGTAGGAGGATAAATAAAAGCCATGAACCACGTGGGAGCACATATATTAATAGAAATGGGTCAGTTTAAGTTCTAAGAGCTAGTTAGAAGCAAGCCTAAGCTAAGAACAAGCTTTCATAAATAATAATAAGTCTCTGTGTCATGACTTGGGGGCTGGCTGTCCAACAAAGCCTGCTACATGTGGTACCCAACAAGGTTGCCAGATATTTTCATTCCTTTTATCATTTTATTAAAAAATAAAACTCAGGGATCAATATTAGGGAATAAACCTGAGCCATCCACAGAGCAACTGAAACACGATCCTGGCTCTCTGCACTTCCCAGAAGGGCCATGAAACCCTCAGCTCCTTCTCTTCCTCCCCTGTGTGTCCTTCTGTCTCCCTCTGAGTTGGCTAGGAAACTCTTTGGTCCATCGCAGCCAGCTAAATGTGGACTCATTCTCCAAGCCCAGTTAGTGGTCTAGGAACAATCAGCACAAACAGATCTCCCACGCATGCACGTACACACATACACATGCAATAAGTTAAAGAGTGAAGAAAGACTTCAACTTTTTGACTTTTGGTGAGCCTCTAAACAAGGCATGTTGGTGTTTAACTACTTTTGCTGCTCCCTGAGAGCTGAGGCCAACCTGGGCACACAGTGAAGCCCATCCATTAGAAAAGTAGGTGAAGGCTGCAGATGGAGATCAGTGATGGAGCGCATGCCAAGGCTCTGGGTTTAGTTCAGCCCTAAAAGCAAAAAGCATTGACTTGTGGGATGTTCAGGAATAGAGCCATTTTACCCAGTGTCTTCCAAAGAATGCTTGTGTGGACTCTGTTGGCTGAACACCATTCTTAACATGATTGGTGTTTGGGTCACTCTGTTGCTGCTTTCATTTTTCATGAACTTTAGCTCAGATACAATCTTCTTTACATAAGAAAGAAGAGCTGGGCGGTGGTGGCGCATGCCTTTAATCCCAGCACTCAGGAGGCAGAGGCAGGCGGATCTCTGTGAATTCGAGGCCAGGCTGGACCGACAGCCTCCAAAACAATACAGAGAAACCCTGTCTCGTAAAACCAAAAAGAAAGAAAGAAAGAAAGAAAGAAAGAAAGAAAGAAAGAAAGAAAGAAAGAAAGAAAGAAAGAAGAATTTATTTGGTGAAAGTTTTGTGTAAATAATCATTCTTAGAATTGATTGATTCATTATTGTGTATGTGGTGTGTCTGTGAGTGTGAGTGTAGGCACATTGAGGTCAGAGGACAGCTTTTAGGAGTTGGTTCTCTTTCTGCTGTGGGGTCCAGGGGTCAAACTCAAGTCACAAGTGTGCACTGTGTGTGCTTTTCCCTGCTGAGCTATCTCCTAGCCCAGTATTCAGAATTCTAAGTGAAATCTTGGAATTGAAAGACAAACAGAAGAAAAACAAAGATATTTGCATTTCCCCTCATGTGTCCTTCTGTCCCCAATGATATGCCTAGGCGTCTTTGGTGCTCTGTCCCCAGTGCTCCATTTCACTGTTTCCTGGTCTTTTATTCCTCCTCCTCCACCTTCCCTGTTGTTCTTTCTATGCTAATCCATTTGTGTGAACACTGAGAATGCTAGAAGCCACCTGCTTAGGAGGGATGTGTCCTGTGTTTGCAGTAATTGTGTCAGTAATGAAGTGGCAGGTTCACAGCACTCCCTGGGGCACCTAAGCAGCACTTGCTGACCCACAACATCTAAGACATCTCCGAAGTCCTTGTTCCTTAGTTAAATACCCTTGATTTCAAGAACTCACTTCTCAGCTTGAGGCTGTAGCTCAGAGGTGTGTCACTAGCTAACCATATGCAAAGCTCTGGGTTTGATCCATGGTATCACCCAAATATTTTAAAGATGGTCAGGCTGGCCTTTAACTATCACTATGTAGTCCAGGCTGATCTTGAACTCTTGGCAATATGCCTGCCTCAGCCTCTCAAATACTTTATGAGTAAACATGCCAGACTTCCTATTATTCTTTTTTTTTTTTTTTTTTTTTTTTTTTTTTTTTGTTTTTTGAGACAGGGTTTCTCTGTATTGTTTTGGAGGCTGTCCTGGAACTCGCTCCGTAGACCAGGCTGGCCTCGAACTCACAGAGATCCACCTGCCTCTGCCTCCCAAGTGCTGGGATTAAAGGCGTGCGCCACCACCGCCCGGCTCCTATTATTCTTAATTATTAAAATTTATTCTGTCTGTGTCTTGTTTGAATGGTGGTCTAATAATCCATAAGAGCCGGGTATGGTGATCCACACTGTAATCCCCGTGCTTGAGAGACTAGGGCTCAACACCAAATGAAGCCTGGGTTTTTTTTGGGGGGGGCACACCTTTAATCCCAACATTTGAGAGGCAGAGGCAGGTGGATCTCTGTGAGTTTGAGACCAGCCTGGTCTACAGAGTGAATTCCAGGACAGCCAGGGTTATACAGAGAAACCCTATCTCCAAAACAAAACAAAATCAACACCAAATGAATAAGTAACCCACTTATCACATGATTAGAGGCCCTGAGTTTAGTTCCTTGTGGTCTGTCACATGATCAGAGGCTCTGAGTTCAGTTCCTTGTGGTAGCAGCAGCTAAGTGGCTCCCCTGACAGTGCCCTCCCTCTGTCTTGCAGGCATTGAGTTAATTGCTGCATTCTACGGCTGCCTGTACGCAGGGTGTATACCTGTGACTGTGCGGCCCCCTCATGCTCAGAACCTCACTGCCACATTGCCCACGGTGCGCATGATCGTTGACGTGAGTACCTTCCATATCTCTGTCTGTTCCATTTCATAGAATCACATTCAGACAACTAAGAACCCTAACATTGTCCTGGTTCTGTAGTGCTGAGTCATCACATTTTCATCATAGGTGTGTACCTGTGATCCCAGCACCCAGGAGCAGATGCACAGCTATCAGCTCCAGGCCAACCTTATCTATGTAGAGAGAGTCTTGTGTCAAAAACAAACAAGCATGCTGGGATTTGTTGATGCACACCTTTAATCCCAGCACTCAGGAGGCAGAGGAAGGCAGAGTTCAAGTTCCAGGACAGCCAGAGCTGTTACACAGAGAAACCCTATTTCGAAAAACAAAACAAGGGTGGTGGTGGTGGTGCACACCTTTAATCCCAGCACTCGGGAGGCAGAGGCAGGTGGATCTCTGTCAGTTTGAGGCCAGTCTGGTCTACAAAGCCACACAAAGAAACCCTGTCTTAAAAAAAAAAACCAAATACATAAATAAAAAATAAAATCACCTTCCATTTGCCAGGCGGTCTTTGATCCCAGCACAAATTGATCGAGACACATTGTATATGTATGTGATGTTTTCAGGACTAGCATTTGTTGAGCATTTGTTAATTCTTAGCAGCATCAAAACAAACAAACCCCCTGAGTTTTGTCCTGGGGGGGTGATAGAAGTTTTTACAGTATAATTGAAATTGAGTAAATCTGTATTGTGTCATATCCTGAGACCTTAACAGAAGGCAGCCTGGGTCAGCACTGTCAGGGTATACACTTCTAATTGATGGGGCGTTTGTTTCTCCAGGGGCTGCTGCTGTGTCAGCAGCTTCGGCTGCAGCATCAAGCCATGCTCATCACAGATGATTTCACTACAGTTTAATTCAGCAAAAATATCCTTGTTAGCTCCTACAAAGAGGCCTGGGGAAGCACTGGGAGTTTCTTTCTGTTGCCGCACTTTGTGGGTGAAAGTAGGTCATTTTACCTTTCCCTTCAAAGCTGAACAGAGCCCATTTGTGTGGGTGCTTCTGTCTGGGTCCATGGCCTCAGATTGGTGTGCATTGTAAGGTCTGGATTGCACATGCTAATTCTGGGCATGCCCACCACCTCCTCCCAGAATTCTACAGAATTCGTGTCTTGATTTATTAGGTCTTTACAAGGATTGAGATTGCAGGGTCCTTCCTGAGAGTACGACTGTTGTTAAAAATGTCCGTCATTCTGGGAGAATTAAACGTGACACATTTTCAGAAATAAAAACACAAGGGGAAAAGAATGAAACAACTCTGGCCAGGATGGTGAGCAAGCTACTTTTAGCAGCGGCCAGCACTGAGCCTTCTGATGCTTACCACTGTCCTTTTTTTTCTAGGTCAGCAAAGCAGCATGTATTCTCACCACGCAGACTCTAATGAGGTTGCTGAAGTCTCGAGAGGCGGCAGCAGCTGTGGATGTGAAAACCTGGCCAACCATCATTGACACAGGTGAAAGGGGGATTATTGCTCCAGAGCTGCTGCCATTCACTACCAGAGGTTTTCTGGAGTCTCACACCAAACCCATTTGCACAGCTTTTGTATTGTAACACCTTTCACTGTGTGCTGACACAGAGAAAGCCAGATACTCAATGTGTATTACCAACATACTGGACACAGTAAAGCCGTGTCCAAGAACCAGCCCATAATATGCTAAGTGCTCTTTAAAGAACCAGCCCATAATATGCTAAGTGCTCTTTAAACAAAGTATCTTGCTGTATGTGATTGCTCATATCTATAATCTCAGGACTCTAGAGTGTGAGGCAGGAGGTTGTCTAGGGTTTCTCTGTATTGCTTTGGAGGTTGTCCTGAACTTGCTCCGTATACCAGGCTGGCCTTGAACTCAGAGATCCGCCTGCCTCTGCTGCCCGAGTGCTGGGATTAAAGGCATGAACCACCACCGCCAGGCTTCAAATGTGCATGAATTTTAGGTGATATTCAGATGTTTTGGTGATACACAAGATTTGGGTATGGGAAGAGCTGGAGGAGTGGACTCAAATCCTGATAGTGCTGCCGCTCTTGGGTATCCTTCCAACCTGGACAAAACTGTCTGTGAAATGAGCTTTGTAGAGCTTGGTCTAACGTGCAGCTGCAGTGTGGAGCCATAGTAGTGACATGTGACCAGTAATAGCCACCCAATGACATGGGGATTTAAAATTAACCCAAAAACCAAAGGACCATCACAGGGGCATGGTTGGGCTTCAGACCGACATCTTGATATTCTTGGATTTGACTTTAAAAAAAATTCGGAAACCGAGTGTTGGTGGCTCACGCCTTTAATCCCAGCACTGGAGGTGGTGGGGCAGAGGCAGGTGGATCTCTGTGAGTTTGAGGCCAGCCTGGTCTACAGTGCGAGTGCCAGGACAGGCTCCAAAGCCACAGAGAAGCCCTGTCTTGAAAAACTGAAAAAAAAAAATTCGGGATGAGGACAAGCTAGCCCACCACATCTAATTTTCTTGAGTGCCCAAAGTGAGCCCTGCTTAGAGCTTTGCAGACCCAGGAGTGAGCTCTGCTCCGGGGCTCTGTGCATGTTAGACAGTCATTCTGTGTGTCCCCGGCACAGGAAGAGGTGTTTTAAATGAGTGAATAGAAAATTCCCAATTCTAGAGGAGGGAACTGTCTAACTTTAAAGTAGCTGTGGTAAAATATTATACGAAAGCAACGTAAGGCAGGAGGAAAGGTTGGTTCTGCTAACAGTTCATGGTTCAGTGTGGCGTGGAGAGTCAAGGCAGCAGGGACTTAGGGAAACAGCTGGTCACATTGTAGTCAGGAGAAAGAGAGCCACTATCCTTTGTGTTTAGACTTTTTGTTTTTATGTGGTTCAGGAACCAAGCTCACGATATGGTGCCATGCTCCAATAGGCACCATATTGGAGCTTAATTACCCTACTCAAGAGTATCCCTCATAAGCATGACCAGAGGCTAACTTGATCCAAATAACTCCCCCATACGTGTGCGTGTGCCTGGCAGCTGTCCCCCAGGTGCTTCCAGACCCTGTCATGCTAGCCGTCAACACTCACACCATGCATACGACATACTGAACTGTAAATGATGTGCTTTAATGGGGCACAGCTTAACAATAGTTAATGCATTTTGAGCATATACACAGATTGTGATTTTAAGAGTGCTTCATGTAGGAGCTAGAGAGATAGCTCAGAGGTTTAAGAGGACTGCTCTTGCAGAGGATACGGGTTCAGTTTCCTGCACCCACATGGCAGCTCACAACCACCTGTTCCAGTCCCAGGGGACCCATGCCTCTTCCAAATTCTTCAGGAGACTGCGTATGTCGTGTGTTACACATACATATACGTAGGCTCACACACATATACATCAAAGAAATAAATTAACAAGTAAACTTTTAAGTGCCTCATGTGAGTTAACTTTCCAGTAACCCTCTGAAGGTAGGTATTTTGGAGACCTGTTGTAGAGAAAAGCAAAAGAGATATCAAGGGGAAGTAAGCCCCGGGACACAGAGCTGGTGACATAGTTTACCTCTGGGTTTGAACACCAGTGCTCCACTTCTTACCAAGCTGTTATCCACCAAGACATCTGCAAATGTGTTCACCTGGTGTGAGCTTGGGGGTACTCTTTGCTGCATTTGAGGATGACAATAGTGAGCTACTAGGTTAGACACAAGAAACTCAGGCCTTCTTCACACATCCCAGAAGCCGGGTTTGGCCATAGCAAAGCCCTGGAAGCAGTGAAAGAGCAGTGGTTCTGTGTTCCAGCATGTCTGCCTTCCATCAAGTTTCCCCTTTGCATTGCAGATGACTTACCCAGGAAACGGTTACCTCAGCTGTATAAACCGCCCACTCCTGAGATGTTGGCATATCTTGATTTTAGTGTCTCCACAACCGGCATGCTTACAGGAGTGAAGGTAAAATGATCTCACCACGTGCTGTTGAGATGCCAGTGAACAGGCGTGCCTGCTGTTCCAGGGACCTCAGCTGTGCAGGCTCGCCGGCTGCACCAGAGGCCAATGGGTGGAGAGGGTCAAGTGTCCCAGCTATATTTAAATATGAGCACTGGGTCTTCTGGAGAAAGTTATCCCAAAGGATTTGCACTATGAAGTGTGTGCCTAATACACATTCTACAGATAGTAAGAGCTCTAGATAAGGTCTGTGTGCCGTCATCCACTCAGGTCCCGTGAGACTGTCAGGAGAAACCTGTCTGCTTAGTTTGTACTTAGGGTTAGGCTATGAAGCAGTAAAACCCATATGCCATATGGAGATTTGGGGGCCGAAGCTGGTCAGAGCAGTTCCTGTGCCTGTTGGGTACCAACTTCATCCTGCGTGTGTCCTTTGCTTTGCAGATGTCCCACTCTGCAGTCAATGCTCTCTGTAGAGCCATCAAGCTCCAGTGTGAGTTGTACTCCTCTCGGCAGATAGCCATCTGCCTTGATCCGTACTGTGGACTTGGCTTTGCACTCTGGTGTCTCTGCAGGTAAGATGGAGAAGCCCAACTGGGTTTGGAGCTGTGGCCATCTTATCCTTACTTTTGTTTTCTTGGTTTTGTTACCTTTAGAAAATGCTATTGTTTCCTAAATGCAGCGCCTTATGTATTTCTGATGTTTGTCTAGCTTTCTGTGTATTGTTTGTTTATTCTCCTCATTTGGCTGTATGCCTCCCTCCTATAACATGTTACCTGCTTTCTGTTCCATCTTGTAATCCTAGCTTTAGAAGCAGAGCCAAGTAGAGGGATGATTCTCAGATGAAGTATGACATGTTTGACAGCCAGGATGTACCCCCTAGGCTTAGCAGGAAGGGCGTAGTGGGATGCGGTGACATCATGTGGCTGGAACGCAGTATTTGCCCTGACCAGATTGCTTCCTGGGGATTGGCAAGTCCCTGCTCTTTCCACTTCCTGCCAGGAAACCAAATCTCAGGCCTGAATTTTTGCTTCCTGTCCACACAAGTGTGTACATTCACAAGTGCCTGTCACTTCTCCAGCATCTTCCTTCCACCTCCCTGTCTTCACTGGGGCAGGGCCGTCCACAGGGCCCAAAGTAGAGTGTGGGGGTTATCTTCAACTTCCCATGCCAGCTACATGTAATACTCATCGTTTCAGTTGTTCCCATTACCTGTCTATATGTTAAAGTCACTTCTGGGTCTTAGAAAAATGAAACAAGACCGAGAATGGAAATGTGTACCTGTGATCCTAGAAATTTGAGAGGCTAAGGCTGGAGAATCATAAAGCAAGCATGGTTGCATAATAAGACCACACCTCACAAAGGAGAAGTGGTGGCTGAGGAGACAACTCAGGGGCTAAGAGCTCTTGCTACTCTTTTTTTTTTTTTTTTTTTTTTTTTTTTTTTTTGGTTTTTCAAGACAGGGTTTCTCTGTGGCTTTGGAGGCTGTCCTGGAGCTCGCTCTGTAGACCAGGCTGGCCTGTAACTCACAGACATCCGCCTGCCTCTGCCTCTCAAGTGCTGGGATTAAAGGCATGCGCCACCAACACTCGGCTCGCTCTTGCTACTCTTGAAAAAGACGTTTTCAGTTCCCAGCACCCACGAGATGCCACAACTGTCCGTGGCTCCATTTCCAAGGGATTTGATGCTGCCTTCTGACTTCCACAAGCACACATGATACACTTGCAGACATTCAAGCCAAATACTCATTTACATAAAATAAAAATAGCTGGGCTGGAGAGATGGCTCAGCCTTTAAAGGCTAGACTCACAACCAAGAAGAAATAAAGCCAGGAAGTGGTAGCACACGCCTTTAATCCTAGCACTGGGAAGACAAAGGCAGGTAGCTCTTGTGAGTTCAAGGCCAACCTGATCTACAGAGTGAGTTCCAAGACAGCCAGGGCTATACAGAGAAACTGTCCCAAGAAAACTAAAATAAATAAATAAATAAATAAAAGTTTTCTTTAAAAAGAAAAGCAAAGCCAGGCAGTGGTGGCGCATGTCTTTAATCCCAGCACTCAGAAGGCAGAGGCAGGTAGATCTCTGAATTGGAGACTTAGAATACTAAAATGGAAGGTTGATCATGATTTCAAGGTCCTCTATTGTGGGCTAGTAGGATTATTGCATGTTTATACCCTGGCAAATTACCCATTTTACATGGAAGGAAAAAAAAGCTAATGAGGTCTTCTCTGGACTGAATTGACCCAGACTCCAACTCTGTGTTACTGAACTTTTGGTGACCCTGTGTTCAGAGGGTTAGACTTCATGGCTGTGGATCTTCTAGGCGACTCCACATTCTTTCAGTTTTGTCCTGCTGCACTGTTGGGATCCAACCCTTGCCATCCCAGACTCCGTAGCCCCCTCTAACCATCTCCCGGCCTTCAGTGGCTCATATGGACTTTCAGCCATGCTTCATGTGGCAGCTGAGACCTTCCACAATGGCTCCAGCCCCCTGGCTTCACTCCCTCTGCACTCTATGGACCATACTTCTCTGCCTCCATACATGCTGCACCTCTGCCTTCCCACCCTGCCCCTATTTCTAGACACTCATTCTGGAGTGCTCTCAACTTAGTGAAGCACTTCCATCCCCACTTTCCAGTTTGAGTGAATTGTCTTTGTCCTGTGCTCTTGACTCCTCCTGTTTGTTAGTACAGCTACCACAGCCTGCTTTTTTTTTTTTTTTTTTGTCATGTGTCCTGTGAGTCATGAGAAATCAGATGAATCGGTTGGCCTTGTACCCAATGTGGTGCCCTGTTGTCTCTTTCCTGCCAGTGCTCTAGGATGCTGAGAGTGAGTGAGTGTGTGTCAGCTCTGCACTAGGATGCTGAGAGTGAGTGAGTGTGTGTCAGCTCTGCACTAGGATGCTGAGGGTGAGTGTGTGTGTGTCAGCTCTGCACTAGGATGCTGAGAGTGAGTGAGTGAGTGAGTGTGTGTCAGCTCTGCTCTAGGATGCTGAGAGTGAGTGTGTGTGTGTCAGCTCTGCACTAGGATGCTGAGTGAGTGTGTGTGTGTCAGCTCTGCACTAGGATGCTGAGAGTGAGTGAGTGAGTGAGTGTGTGTCAGCTCTGCACTAGGATGCTGAGAGTGAGTGTGTGTGTGTCAGCTCTGCACTAGGATGCTGAGAGTGAGTGAGTGAGTGAGTGTGTGTCAGCTCTGCACTAGGATGCTGAGAGTGAGTGTGTGTGTGTCAGCTCTGCACTAGGATGCTGAGAGTGAGTGTGTGTGTGTCAGCTCTGCACTAGGATGCTGAGTGAGTGTGTGTGTGTCAGCTCTGCACTAGGATGCTGAGAGTGAGTGTGTGTCAGCTCTGCACTAGGATGCTGAGAGTGAGTGTGTGTGTCAGCTCTGTACTAGGATGCTGAGAGTGAGTGAGTGAGTGAGTGTGTGTCAGCTCTGCTCTAGGATGCTGAGAGTGTGTGTGTCAGCTCTGCACTAGGATGCTGAGAGTGAGTGAGTGTGTGTTTGTCAGCTCTGCACTAGGATGCTGAGAGTGAGTGTGTGTGTGTCAGCTCTGCACTAGGATGCTGAGAGTGAGTGTGTGTGTGTCAGCTCTGCACTAGGATGCTGAGTGAGTGTGTGTGTGTCAGCTCTGCACTAGGATGCTGAGAGTGTGTGTGTCAGCTCTGCACTAGGATGCTGAGAGTGAGTGTGTGTCAGCTCTGCTCTAGGATGCTTAGAGTGAGTGTGTGTGTGTCAGCTCTGCACTAGGATGCTGAGAGTGAGTGTGTGTCAGCTCTGCACTAGGATGCTGAGAGTGAGTGTGTGTATGTCAGCTCTGCACTAGGATGCTGAGAGTGAGTGAGTGTGTGTCAGCTCTGCTCTAGGATGCTTAGAGTGAGTGTGTCAGCTCTGCTCTAGGATGCTGAGAGTGAGTGAGTGTGTGTCAGCTCTGCTCTAGGATGCTTAGAGTGAGTGAGTGTGTCAGCTCTGCTCTAGGATGCTGAGTGAGTGTGTGTGTGTCAGCTCTGCACTAGGATGCTGAGAGTGAGTGTGTGTGTGTCAGCTCTGCACTAGGATGCTGAGAGTGAGTGAGTGAGTGAGTGTGTGTCAGCTCTGCACTAGGATGCTGAGAGTGAGTGTGTGTGTGTCAGCTCTGCACTAGGATGCTGAGAGTGAGTGTGTGTGTGTCAGCTCTGCACTAGGATGCTGAGTGAGTGTGTGTGTGTCAGCTCTGCACTAGGATGCTGAGAGTGAGTGTGTGTCAGCTCTGCACTAGGATGCTGAGAGTGAGTGTGTGTGTCAGCTCTGTACTAGGATGCTGAGAGTGAGTGAGTGAGTGTGTGTCAGCTCTGCTCTAGGATGCTGAGAGTGTGTGTGTCAGCTCTGCACTAGGATGCTGAGGGTGAGTGTGTGTTTGTCAGCTCTGCACTAGGATGCTGAGAGTGAGTGTGTGTGTGTCAGCTCTGCACTAGGATGCTGAGTGAGTGTGTGTGTGTCAGCTCTGCACTAGGATGCTGAGAGTGAGTGTGTGTGTGTCAGCTCTGCACTAGGATGCTGAGTGAGTGTGTGTGTGTCAGCTCTGCACTAGGATGCTGAGAGTGTGTGTGTCAGCTCTGCACTAGGATGCTGAGAGTGAGTGTGTGTCAGCTCTGCTCTAGGATGCTTAGAGTGAGTGTGTGTGTGTCAGCTCTGCACTAGGATGCTGAGAGTGAGTGTGTGTCAGCTCTGCACTAGGATGCTGAGAGTGAGTGTGTGTATGTCAGCTCTGCACTAGGATGCTGAGAGTGAGTGAGTGTGTGTCACCTCTGCTCTAGGATGCTTAGAGTGAGTGTGTCAGCTCTGCTCTAGGATGCTGAGAGTGAGTGAGTGTGTGTCAGCTCTGCTCTAGGATGCTTAGAGTGAGTGAGTGTGTCAGCTCTGCTCTAGGATGCTGAGTGAGTGTGTGTGTGTCAGCTCTGCACTAGGATGCTGAGAGTGAGTGAGTGTGTGTCAGCTCTGCTCTAGGATGCTTAGAGTGAGTGAGTGTGTCAGCTCTGCTCTAGGATGCTGAGAGTGAGTGTGTCAGCTCTGCTCTAGGATGCTGAGAGTGTGTGTGTGTCAGCTCTGCACTAGGATGCTGAGAGTGAGTGTGTGTCAGCTCTGCTCTAGGATGATGAGAGTGTGTGTGTCAGCTCTGCACTAGGATGCTGAGAGTGAGTGTGTGTGTGTCAGCTCTGCACTAGGATGCTGAGTGAGTGTGTGTGTGTCAGCTCTGCACTAGGATGCTGAGAGTGAGTGAGTGAGTGAGTGTGTGTCAGCTCTGCACTAGGATGCTGAGAGTGAGTGTGTGTGTGTCAGCTCTGCACTAGGATGCTGAGAGTGAGTGAGTGAGTGTGTGTCAGCTCTGCACTAGGATGCTGAGAGTGAGTGTGTGTGTGTCAGCTCTGCACTAGGATGCTGAGAGTGAGTGTGTGTGTGTCAGCTCTGCACTAGGATGCTGAGTGAGTGTGTGTGTGTCAGCTCTGCACTAGGATGCTGAGAGTGAGTGTGTGTCAGCTCTGCACTAGGATGCTGAGAGTGAGTGTGTGTGTCAGCTCTGTACTAGGATGCTGAGAGTGAGTGAGTGAGTGTGTGTCAGCTCTGCTCTAGGATGCTGAGAGTGTGTGTGTCAGCTCTGCACTAGGATGCTGAGGGTGAGTGTGTGTTTGTCAGCTCTGCACTAGGATGCTGAGTGAGTGTGTGTGTGTCAGCTCTGCACTAGGATGCTGAGTGAGTGTGTGTGTGTCAGCTCTGCACTAGGATGCTGAGAGTGAGTGTGTGTGTGTCAGCTCTGCACTAGGATGCTGAGTGAGTGTGTGTGTGTCAGCTCTGCACTAGGATGCTGAGAGTGTGTGTGTCAGCTCTGCACTAGGATGCTGAGAGTGAGTGTGTGTCAGCTCTGCTCTAGGATGCTTAGAGTGAGTGTGTGTGTGTCAGCTCTGCACTAGGATGCTGAGAGTGAGTGTGTGTCAGCTCTGCACTAGGATGCTGAGAGTGAGTGTGTGTATGTCAGCTCTGCACTAGGATGCTGAGAGTGAGTGAGTGTGTATCAGCTCTGCTCTAGGATGCTTAGAGTGAGTGTGTCAGCTCTGCTCTAGGATGCTGAGAGTGAGTGAGTGTGTGTCAGCTCTGCTCTAGGATGCTTAGAGTGAGTGAGTGTGTCAGCTCTGCTCTAGGATGCTGAGAGTGAGTGTGTCAGCTCTGCTCTAGGATGCTGAGAGTGTGTGTGTGTCAGCTCTGCACTAGGATGCTGAGAGTGAGTGTGTGTCAGCTCTGCTCTAGGATGATGAGAGTGTGTGTGTCAGCTCTGCACTAGGATGCTGAGAGTGAGTGTGTGTGTGTCAGCTCTGCACTAGGATGCTGAGGGTGAGTGTGTGTCAGCTCTGCACTAGGATGCTGAGAGTGAGTGAGTGTGTGTCAGCTCTGCACTAGGATGCTGAGGGTGAGTGTGTGTTTGTCAGCTCTGCACTAGGATGCTGAGAGTGAGTGTGTGTGTCAGCTCTGCTCTAGGATGCTGAGGGTGAGTGAGTGTGTGTCAGCTCTGCACTAGGATGCTGAGGGTGAGTGTGTGTGTCAGCTCTGCACTAGGATGCTGAGAGTGAGTGAGTGTGTGTCAGCTCTGCTCTAGGATGCTGAGGGTGAGTGTGTGTTTGTCAGCTCTGCACTAGGATGCTGAGAGTGAGTGAGTATGTGTCAGCTCTGCACTAGGATGCTGAGAGTGAGTGTGTGTGTGAGCTCTGCACTAGGATGCTGAGAGTGAGTGAGTATGTGTCAGCTCTGCACTAGGATGCTGAGAGTGAGTGTGTGTGTGTCAGCTCTGCTCTAGGATGCTGAGAGTGAGTGAGTGTGTCAGCTCTGCTCTAGGATGCTGAGAGTGAGTGTGTGTCAGCTCTGCACTAGGATGCTGAGAGTGAGTGTGTGTGTGTCAGCTCTGCACTAGGATGCTGAGGGTGAGCGCTTGTCAGCTCTGCACTTCTTCTTTGCAGTGTCTATTCCGGTCACCAGTCCATCTTGATTCCTCCTCTGGAGCTGGAGAACAACCTTTTCCTCTGGCTTGCCACCGTCAACCAGTACAAGATAAGGGACACCTTCTGCTCCTACTCAGTGATGGAGCTTTGCACTAAAGGCCTGGGGAACCAAGTGGAGGTGCTAAAGGTGAGGAGCAGCCACGAATGTGATGTCCTAAGACTGGGCAAGGCCAGTCTTAGCCACAGATCAGACCAGCCGCAGAGCAGACTAGTCACAGACCCAACCCCAGCTACACCCACAGACCCAATCACAGCCACAGCCACAGACCCAGCCACAGTCACAGTCACAGACACAGATCAGCTCAGCCACAGCCCACACCTTAAGATTTTAGATTAAACAAGAAAGGCATGAAGCAGAGCAGAGCAGGTCTCCCCATGGGTGATTGTAACGAGATGTTTGGGCATTTCCTTTCTGAAGCTGCTTTTCTCCATGTCTGGGCTGAGAAAGTAGCTCTTGGCTTTTCCTAACATTTCTGGCACCAATGTCTTCCAGACCCGAGGGATCAACCTCTCCTGCATCAGGACCTGTGTGGTGGTAGCAGAGGAGCGACCCCGCATCACCCTCCAGCAGTCCTTCTCCAAGCTCTTTAAAGACATTGGCCTGTCCCCTCGAGCTGTCAGCACCACTTTCGGATCCAGAGTCAATGTAGCAATATGTTTACAGGTAACACCATGGAATTGTTCTTGTTGTTAGTGGTTCTCTGAGACAGTCTCAAACACAAGGCAGTCTTCCTGCGTTAGTCTTCTGAGAGCTAAGAATGGCAGGTGTGCCCCTCCCCTCCCCTCTCCTTCCCTCCCCACAGTGGACTGTGAGGCTCCGTAGTGGGGACTTCAAGGCCACACTGCTCTGTTTCCTTACTGTGGAATTTTAGGCTTTTTATTTCACCTGCTCTGTGTCTCTTTATGTTGTCTATAACATGCCACTTTTGTTTGCCCCAGGGTTGGCCTGCAGGGCCACAGGTTACTAGGAAAGTTCTGAGACAAGACAAGCCATATTAGGCTCTAGTGTAAACCTTTCTCCTAGTATGGCATACTCTGGAAGCCTCTGAGTCCTATTTGCATTTTATTAATTAATATACAGTATACAGCCTTTTTTTTTTTCCTTAAACAGGGTTTCTTTGTGTAGCCTTGACTGTCCTGAAACTCAGTCTGTAGACCAGGCTGACCTCAAACTCAGAGATCTGCCTGCCTCTGCCTCCTGAGTGCTCAGATTAAAGGCGTGTGCCACCCCTGCCCAACTAATATATAGCCTTCTTTTTTCCCTCTCTCCTGTATCTTTTTCCTTCTTAAAACATACCAGTATCACTCCTTTTTTGCCATGCTGTTCTTGGTGGGTCTAGAACAGTCTAGTTTTATGCTGCTTGGAGGCTCATGAGGCAAGTGAGTGCATGGACAAGAGTGAAGGAAGGTGGCCAAGACTTTGAGGGCTCCTGGCACTGGCACCATGGTCAGGTGGCTTGCAGGAAGTGTCATGATACTCTCTGTGGAATCCCAGTGTGCCCCTTGCTCTCATCTGTTTTGGCATGGTGGCTTCTCTCATCCCTGCTCTGAGCCCTGCTCAGATAAACTCCTGGGTTTGGTGCTGTTTTAGTGCATCAGAAACATCTAAGAGGACGCCAGGCCCAAGGCTCCCCCACCTGCTGGCTTTGCCTTTGTCTTACTTGGTCGAAGAAAAAGCGAGAGTGAATCTTCTTTCGGGGGACCCTCTGCCTCACATCTGTGAGATGTGATACCCAGGCACAGGTCATTCAGGCCTTAAATAAACATTGTGCTGGTTTCTTCTGTTTCAGGGAACCTCGGGGCCTGATCCAACAACTGTGTATGTAGACTTGAAGTCGCTGAGACATGACAGGTACAGTGAGCAAAGAGCTCGGCCTCAGGGACACCACCCTCATCCTCTTCACACTTGAGTGGTGACACAGGAAGGGAAAGGATTTATGTCTATTCATAAATGATAGAGGTTTTGCTTATACAAAAAAAGCTTTAATTCTCACATTTGCTTCATTGGTGTTTGGGGTTATTTTTCTACCCAAAGGAGTAGGTTAGGATTTGAAGTACCAGTTTGTTACCTAGCCTAAGCTCACCTCTGAGATTTACAGTCATCTTCCTGCCTCTGATTCTGCTATAGTACAGGTACATGGACCTGTACATGGCCTGGCTTCCTCCATTGTTGTATAATTAAAATGTAATCTTAGTTCCTAATTATATAAAAAATGCTTTTGTGGCCGGGCGTTGGTGGCACATGCCTTTAATCCCAGCACTCGAGAGGCAGAGACAGGAGGATCTCTGTGAGTTCGAGGCCAGCCTGGTCTACAGAGCGAGTTCTGGGACAGCCTCCAAAATAATACAGAGAAACCTTGTCTTGAAAAACAAAACAACAACAACAACAAAAAAAAACTTTTGTGGGGCTGGGCATGGTAGTGCATGCACTTAATCCCAGCATTTGGGAGGCAGAGACAGGCGGATCTCTGTGGGTTTCAAGCCAGCCTGGGCTACAGAGTGAATTCCAGGACAGCCAGAGCTTCTAAGGAGTCCCTGGCTAAATTTAGAAGAAAAAAGATAGTGTCTTTCCTCTGTAGTTTAGAAACAAAAATGGGACAGATAAAATAAATGAGGCAGGACAGGATCACTGAAACAACACTGTATCTGACTCCAGGGTTTTTAAAGCTGCTTCCTTACTAGCTGAGCTTTTTAGCTGTGTCCCATAGTGCACACCAGGCTAGTGGCTGGTCTCTAGTGTACCCAGCTAGACTCCAGGCTGCACCATGGCAGTTGGTTTGTGTGTGTGCGCATGTGTGTGTCTGTGTCTTAGACCAGAAGACAACCCCAGGTGTTGTTACTCAGGTCCTCAGGTGTAACATGTAGTCTTCCTTGCCAGTCGCCTGGGCCCTGCCACAGTTGCAGTCCCCAAATAACTGGCAGGACACTATATTAATTATGAAGCTGTTGGCCGTTTGCTTGTTTCTTACTGGCTAGCTCTGACTTAAGTATTTAACCCATAATTGTTAATCTAAGTATTTCTCTTACCAGAGAAAAGGATCCGGACCTCTTACTCCTCTGGCGGCCTACATTGTGTCTGCCTGTGTCTTTCTCTTTCCCAGAGTCCTCCTCGACTCTTAGTCTTACCTATCTTGCTTCCATATTGGCCAACAGTGCTTTATTCAAACCAATCAGACACATTTTTACAGAATGGCATCTCCTAATACTCAGGGATCATGTACTTGGTTTTGTGAGACAAGGCTCTCTCTCTGAAACCTGTGGCTTACCAAGCTGATTAACTCCATGGATACGCCGGTCTCTACCTCCCGGCACTGGGATCGTGAGCATGCGCCAGCACACATGGCTTCTCTCTGATGTGGCACTCGTGTCCTCATGCTTGGGCAGCAGTCTGCCCTCGAGAGACTTGCCTGTCTTCTAAAACATTTGTGGTTCTCACAATGGGAGCTTCTACTGAATCCTAGCACTTAATACCCTCAACAAAATCTGCCTGACCCATAGCATCAAGAGTGTAGGAAAGCCCTGCTCTGCCAGGAACAGAAGATGCCAGTTAGAGGCCTTAGGGAGGCAGCGCCAGTGGGGAGCCCAGTTTTAGCAAGACTATGCATTAACTGCTGTTCCCCTGCAGGGTTCGTCTTGTGGAGCGGGGTGCCCCCCAGAGCCTTCTACTCTCCGAGTCTGGAAAGGTACTCTCTTCTGTCAGCTGCTGGGGCAGGGTGGGCTGGAGGCAGAGACCAGAAGCCTGGGCTAGGGGTAAGCCACAGTCTCTCCTTAGTAGATGGCTTCAGAATAAGTGTATATGGTGATGAAAACAGATGTAGATTTATCTCCATATTGTTTAAACACCACAGCATGCCTTTCTTACTGATGAGTCAGAAAAATGTGGTATTCATTGTACACAAGTGCATAGATAAACAGCATCTAAACAGAGCCAGTTCTGTCTAACCCTGAAGGTGGGAGGCAAGTCTGGATGGAGAAGAGGTGCCCACTGTGGGAGACCCTGCACACCAGGGAGCAGAGCAGCTGTTCCTTATGCAAGAAGCAGCTGCTCCTAGCACCACTTCATCCCCCATCCCCTCCATCCACAGCATCTCTCTCACCCACATTGTCCCAACAGAGGACAGGATTGTGACAACATCTCAGGTTCCTCCTGAGGAAGACTCAGAGAAGACAAAATCAAAGGAGATCTTGCTTAATCTATCCAGAAGATGTCACCCCAGAGGGGTCTGACTGCAGTGTTTCTGCTGTGTGAACTGCTTGTGTAGGCTGTGCCATTAACTGCCCATGTCTGCAGATGGGTGTGCAGGACCTCAAGAATGCCATGTCATGAGTGCAGACTGAGGCTCCAGGGAACTATGCTTTTATCTCTTCCTCCAGGTTTAGATAGGTAAGCCCTGGTAGGGTTTAGAGACCCAAGCTAACAATGTCAACAGAGTGAGACAGGTGTTCAGAATGGCTGGCTAGCCCACCGGTCTTTTTGCCTAAAAAGGTCCTTGTACATAGTAAGCAAGCAGCTTACTGCTGAGCTACACTCCTGGCCCAGGATACATACATCTTCTGGAAAGCCCTGAGCTGTCTGCTCAGCCAGCACTTAGTTTCTTTTACCTCCTGAAGATGGAAATGTGACATCTCTCGAGACGCCAGGCCATGATGTCTCTTCTGTGTTCTCACTACTGCAGCTCCCCCAGTGGTGGCCCCTGCTGACTGTGGTGTGGCCTTCAGGTGCTCTCCCCCTACTGTTTTATCTTTGGAAGGGGTTTGCCCGAAAGGATACTAGAGTCTCACTGTTATGGCCTTGGGCAGAAGTTTCTCATCCTCTGAAGAGGTGACATCCTAAGTCTGCTTCAGGTGGAGAATGGAGCTTACTGATCCTTGGATCTCAACCAGTATGAGGAAGAGGCACATCAGGGCCCCTTGAGTGATGGCAGCTCCTGCCATTTCTAATCCCTAGAGATAAAGGTTCAGGTCTAGAGGTCATTGGCTGTTTTGCCGGGTTTGAAATTGAAACCCGGTCTCAGGCATGCTAGATAGGCCTCTGCCAAAGGTGAAGCCACAACCAGAGCTAGGAGCTTTGACTGACTGAGCATCTGTGTTTCCCCTTGGTTCTTAGATTTTACCTGGAGTAAAAGTAGTTATTGTTAATCCGGAGACCAAAGGACCTGTGGGAGACTCCCACCTGGGTGAGGTAAGTGTGAATCTCATGTTCGCTCTGCAATCGTTAGCCAAGATTTTAAAGACCACACACTAGAGATCAACAGAACTAGACTGACCTCCATTCCCTCTGCTGGGAATAGCTATTTTTCCTGGAAATCTGTGTTGGAAAGAGACAAAAGGAGGCTGAGACTGAAACCAAGATTGGGTAGAAACAGTCTCAGCTTTGTTCACTGCCATCCCCTTAGCTGAAAGCAAACCAGCCAGATGCTACCTGTTCCCACCTATGAAGGGCTGGAGCCAAGAGGAACCACATGTATACGTCTTTAAATTCACATAAATGTTATAGTCCAAAATTTATGGTTTTTGCTTTAATATGAAAATCCTTAGCCAGGCGTTGGTGGCGCACGCCTTTAATCCCAGCACTCGGGAGGCAGCGGCAGGCGGATCTCTGTGAGTTCGAGGCCATTCTGGTCTACAAAGTGAGTTCCAGGACAGCCTCCAAAGCCACAGAGAAACCCTGTCTCGAAAAACCAAAAAAAGAAAAGAAAAGAAAAATGATAGTTACATGTGTTATACCTAGACCTACAATGCACCAAAGCAGGCTGTCTCTCAAGTTTTCAGCAGATCCAGTGGTGGCTGCTACTATCCTCATAGTTGTCAGCTCCTAGCCTGTCTACATTGTGAACTCAAGTGTCCTGTAGCATTATCCCAAAAGCCTTGTGCCATGGTTACACCAGCAGTGGAGTAACCTTGCCTTAGTGTTTTTGTGGGATTCTGGAAGCCAATCAGAAATGAACCATCAAAGCATTGCAGCCTAGTGGTCAGGAGCACGGCCTCTGGTGCTAACCACTGGGGTAGGGGCTCCTTTCTATTCCTGCATCTTAGAGGAATTTGTAGACATTTCTTTTTACATGTATAGTGAGAATAACAATGGTGTGGCTATGTTCCTGTCCTGTGTGTCACAGCTGATGGAGATCAGGCCACTGAAGTCTGGCAGAGAGTAAATGCTGGCAGGTGTCAACACACACTGTTGTGGTTGTATTGTTAATATGAAAATGAGATTTAAAAAATAGTCTCCCAGGAGAATTGAACTGATATCATCATCTTTCTTTTCTTATAGATCTGGGTAAATAGCCCCCATACAGCCAGTGGCTACTATACCATCTACGATAGCGAGACTCTCCAAGCTGATCATTTCAACACCCGCCTGAGCTTCGGAGATGCCGCACAGACTCTCTGGGCCCGGACAGGATACCTTGGTTTTGTCCGTAGAACTGAGCTCACAGCAGCCACTGGAGGTAACTTTTACCCCTACTCTCTTCCCAGCCAGCCTTTTCCCCTTCCTGCATCCCTTGAACACGTGGTGGAGTCACATACACTTGAAGTAACCTTTGCCCTCTGAGGACTGTCTGGAAGAGAAGCCCTCAAGACTGCCACAGGAGCATCCATAGAGCAGGGTGCTGGAGCAGCATGTGACCCTAGTGATGCTCCTGGGAACACCCCAGACAGAGCAGAACTCCCTTAGGGCTGACACCGACCTGAACAAGCCTGGGACAGCTCTGTCTTCCTTGGCTCTTCTGCCCTGGCACACCATTTTGAGTCCAGGAGAAACAGAAACATAGAAACATCCTCTCTCACTAAGGGAGCATTGGTTCTTTTTTATTTTATTTTATTTAATAGTCTTACTACATATCTCTGGCTGGCCTCAAAACTCACAGAGATCTATCTGTCCCTCTCTGGAGTGCTGGGATTAGAGGTGTGTGCTACCATGCTTGGCCTGGGAGTTGTTTCTGAGGATTCCCTTATGTCGTCCTCTGCCCAGCTGACCGTCACAGCTCCTCTGCTGTCCACTGTCACATGCTCTTTCTCACTGGATTGGTAGCCACTGCAGAATTCTCAACACTAGCTATATTTGCACACTGAAGAATTGATCCTGAAAACACCATGGACTGTAAAGCCTCATCGACCATTTCTCCTTAGCTGAACAGTGTGTATCATTTCTCCATGTTTCATGGGGAAGCCGCTGTCACTAGGGCAATGAGAGCTGTGGTCCTTAAGCAGGTTACTGTGAACAATCTCTCCACCTGTTCTGAAGAGTCAGAGCATGGTGTCCTCTGCCGTTCGATTGAGTGATGTGGTACATTCAATGCTGGCCCATTGAAAGAATCATTACTTGACTGCTGTTGTGTTTGTGCTGTCATTTCATCATCAGAGATCTACTCTTACCAGAAAATATTGCAAAATCCACCTTCCTTCTCCATGTTTGCTGGGTTGAATCTGGTCAGACTCTGCAGTGTGGAAACTGTGGTTCATGACTGCTGCCCCTTTGTCTCAGGCCCTCCCCTTCTCCCCTCCCCCAGCTAATTCTTGTTCATTCATCAAAGCTCAGCCATGGCTGAGCTCTCTTCAAATGCTTGATTAGGGCAAGGGGTGTCCCTGACTCATCAGAGTTCAGGTCTACCCCTGCCTATCCTTCACTCAGCTTGCTCCTGTTTGTATCTTCCCCAGCTAGGTCCTTAAAAAAAATACTGTGTTATTAACCTAATTATTGTATGTGTATATGCTCAAGCATAAGATGGGGGAGGGACCAGAGAGAGTGAGTGCTTGTGTGTATGTGCGTGCGTGCGTGCGTGTGTGCGTGCGTGTGTGTGTGTGTGTGTGTGTCTGGAGAGGTTGACCCTGTACTCTTAATGCCAACACTTTATGGTGTTTAGCAGGCATCTGAAGTCTGTTTCTGTTCCTTTTTCAGAACGTCATGATGCCTTATATGTGGTGGGTGCCCTGGATGAGACACTGGAGCTTCGAGGATTACGATACCATCCGATTGATATAGAGACCTCCGTGTCCCGAGTCCACAGGAGCATTGCGGAATGGTAATTTCCCCATACCACTTACTCCCACCTCAGCTTTCGTGATGATGAAAGTTAATCGGTTAATGAGCCATTTGTTCCAATCCACCTGCCCATGTGGAACCCCTTCAAGAGTAAGGAAGTATGTAAATCACCTTCCATCTTGGTCACATGGTCCACTGTGGCCATCAAAGCCTGCTCACCAGAACCAAAAAGGTCTTGTAGCCACCGGGGAACACGATGGGACGCTGTGGGACTGAGTCAGTTTGTAAGGGCAGACTTTCATAAGTAGAAGAATTAGCAGATCACTTGCCTCTAGAAAGTCAGTATAATGTAGTGGGAATAACTCTGACTTCAAGCTCAAAAGACCCAATTTAGAGGCTCACCATGGGCCTGCTTGGTGGCCCAGTAGGTAAGGTGTTTACCATCCAGCCTGGTGACTTACGTATGGTTTCCAGAACTCACATGGTAGAAGGAAAGAACCAACTCCAACAAGTTGTCCTCTGACCACACATGTGGGCTGTAGTATACACACATGCTTTCTCTCTCATGCATAATAAATAAAAAAATGACTGATAATAAAGTCTCACCTCTCCAAACATCCCTGTGCTTCCTGATTCCCCACAAGGTAGGTCAGCATGTGTCTTTTGGACAGTCAGTGGGAAGCAGGTGAAAAGGATGGGGTTACCATCTCAGCTGATTCTCTCGTCAAAGCAACTTGCCTGCGTTTCCCTTGTCCAAGGATTAGCCAACCAACCTCATACTGATGGGAAGTTCATTAAAATTAAAACTGGGTTTCACCTACTAGTTTTCTGGGTTTTTGTTTTTAACATGTGTGTGTATGCGATATGTACAAAAGTACCCATGGAGTCCAGAAGAGGATGTTGAATCACCTGCAGCTGGACTTACATGTGGTTATGTGCCACCCAACATAGGTCCTGGAATCAGAGCTCCCATCTTATACAAACGCAGCTAGTGCTCTAACCACTAGGTAATCACTCCAGCACCTCATTCTTGGTTTTGTTTGTTTTGAGACAGAGTCTGTCTCTGTAGTACTAGCGGTCCTGGAACTTCCTTTGTAGACCAGGCTAGCCTCAAAATCACAGCAATATACCTGCCTTTGCCTCACAAGTGTTTTTCTGGGTTCTTAATGATAGAGAATGTGTGCTGTTTCTTCTGTGTTTAACTCCTGGGTTCTTCTCCAGCATGTCCCCTGATGTGTAGCCATGGTTTTGGTGATAGGTGCTCATGCTTTCCAAATACTACTTTGTCTAACGATGTTTTTGCTGGGCATGGCGGCACTGAGGAGGCTGACACAAGCACATCTAGAGTTGTGGACCAGCCTGGGCTACCCAAGGAAGGATCCTGCCCCCAAACAACACACAGAAAAAGGTCTAATGGGTGCCTGGGTCAGATTCTGTCTTCAGACCTAAACATGATTGCTCAAAGCAAGAACAGCTTTACATGAGAAAACTTTGGTAAAGCATGTAGGGGCATTGGTGCCATAACTGATTTTAGATATTCAACTTTATTTATTTATTCATTTATTTATTTATTTATTTATTTGAGACAGGGTTTCTCTGTGGCTTTGGAGGCTGTCCTGGAACTCGCTCTGTAGACCAGGCTGGCCTCTGCCTCCCGAGTGCTGGGATTAAAGGCGTGTGCCACCAACGCCCGGCTGATATTCAACTTTATTACAACCATATATTACTTATAGCTATCTTTAATATTTGGATAATTAAAAAATTGTTTAGCATTGTGTATTCAAAGCCAGCTCATACCTTCTGATGTAGTAATCTGCTTAGTGGGTGACTCTTAACATTGTAAGCAACAGGGCTGAAGAGATGGCTCAGCGGTTAAGAGCACTGACTGTTCTTCCAGAGGTCCTGAGTTCAATTCCCAGCAACCACATGGTGGCTCATAACCACCTTGAATGAGATCTGGGGCCCTCTGCTGGCATGCAGGCAGAAGACTGTATACACAATACATAAATAAATAAAAACATATAAAAAAACACAATGTAAGCAACAGACATTGTGTTCAAGAAAGTTTAAGTAAGCCGAGTGTGGTAGCACACGCCAGGGCCACACAGAGAAACCATGTCTTTGGGGCAGGATGCTTAAACCAAGTCAGACATATTGACTCACTTGAGCTAGAGAGACCCTATCTCAGACAAATAAAGGACACTTGCGTTGAAGAGTAAATGGAAAGAACACCTGGCTGTCTCTGCCTTCTGTAAAGGCTGAGTCTCAGAACAAGGGACAGGTGGACAGTTAGGAGTCGCTGCCTCTGCCACTTGTGAAGCTGTGGTCGCCTGTGTTGATTCCCTTTGCTGGACAGTTAGGAGTCGCTGCCTCTGCCACTTGTGAAGCTGTGACCACCTGTGTTGATTCCCTTTCCTGGACAGCTGCTTTGCCCTTCCACCCAGTCCCAAACTGTCAGGCATATGTGTCCCAGTCCAGGCAGTCCTACTCCCAGATTCTGAGAAAATGCTAGAAGGCTCAGCTAGTCAGCTGGTCACATACATGGCTGCTGCCTCTGACTGACATCCAGGAGAAAAGACAGTTCATAGGGGATTGGTGTAAGTCTCAGAAGATAGCACAAAAGACCAGAGCCAGCGAGATGCTCCGAGGTAAAGACAGTTGTGCCAAGCCTGACGACCTGAGTGGAATCCCCAGAACCCAAATGTTGAAGGAGAGAACTGACTCCCGAGTTATTCTTTGACCTCTCCGCAACCCATGTGCATGTATCCTCCCCACAGTGAATGCAAAAGAAATATTTTAAGGATGAGGAGGCTGGAGAGATGGCTTATCTTGCTGCTCTTGCAGAGGATGTAGGTTCTGTTCTCAAAACCCACATAGTAGCTTACAACCAGCTGGAACTCTAGTTCCAGGAGATCCAACACTGTCTTCTGACCTCCCTGCATGTACATGGAGCACTTATATACTTGCAGGTGAATATATACTCACCCAATCAAAATACTAAGTATGTTTAATGAATAAATGCTAACTGAATGTCATTGGCTTTCAGTGCCGTGTTCACATGGACCAACTTGCTGGTAGTGGTTGTGGAGCTGTGTGGCTTGGAGCAGGAAGCCCTGGACCTGGTTCCTCTCGTGACCAATGTGGTCCTAGAAGAGCATTACCTCATCGTTGGTGTTGTGGTTGTGGTGGACCCAGGGGTCATCCCCATCAATTCCAGAGGAGAGAAACAGAGGATGCACCTCCGAGACAGCTTCCTGGCTGACCAGTTAGACCCTATCTATGTGGCTTACAACATGTAGCCAGCCTGTAGCCCTGTGGGGGCCATCCTGAGGACCAGAGACACCGAAGCCCTGTGGCTAGGAGCAGCTTGCAGCTAACATGAAGAGGGCTCCAGTGTAGCCTTCATCTCATCCTGTGGGATTCTGCAGTCACGAACACCCAGGAGAGGGGAATTCTGTGGGTGCAACAAAAACATGTTAACAGTACGTCAGACCTGAGCTCTGGCATCTGCGACAGCACGTCACTAAAGCAGTTACATGCATGTTGCATTTTCCTCATCTGGCATAAATACCTGTATTTTTACCTAACGTTTTAGACTTTTGTAAGGAGTTTAATGAATTCACATAAGGGGTAATCTGAGTCCCACAGTGCCCCACTCTGTACTGTATTTTGCCATTTTCCTGTAGTCAGGTATTCTGCAGGGTTACTTAACATGAAACTACCAAGCTTGAGTCAGCCTATAGTCAAATCAGATAACCCATGTGAAAACCGCTGTATGTGTCTACTTCCCAATTATAAACATCTGACCAGTGTTTAAACGTGTAAATAAGAGTGCGCATAACTCAACTAAGGAACCAAGCAATCAGCTTGCCTAACTGCAGCCGGTGTAGCTGAGCTTCTGCTGGGTTGTGTGGAAGCAGCTGGCCCAGCAGCGCAGCGCCTCCTGTCTGTGGGTGCTCTGCACTAAAGCTGCCTGTGTTTTTAAAGCTTGTATTCCTATAACTAGCTTGAGCTACTAAGGACTCTTCAACCCATTCCTCTGAGCTGAAAAAAAAAATCTCATGTCAGAATTCTAGAAGTAGCTAAGAGTCATCAGTTCCTAGCCTACTGTGTGGAATTGCGGTAGTTCACTCAGGCCAGTGTTGAAACATTTTCACATTTAGAGTGACTACTGAGAATTGTGACGTTCCGCTTTTTCCATGCCCTGTGTCTGCAGGTTACATATAGAGCTCCCCCCACCCCTAAAACTGAGGAGTGAGCTCTGTCCTCTGATGTCTGGGGTGAACGCTAGGCTGGGAGTAACTGTGGGCCACATGTGCACACCCTAACACTAACCAGTCTGGGCTGCCAGAATAGCCAGGCTCCTCAGAAACAGGGAAGTCTGATGTATGCAAGAAACTCTTTTGAAATAACTGGTGCCTGGCCACACTCAGTATGGGACTGAGTTTGGCCTCTGGCTCAGTTTCCTTCCTTTGGTCTGAAACTTCATGTATTTGAATATAGTTAAATTTTATTATTTTTTTCTTACAGAAATATTTTTAAAAATTAAAGAAAACTTCAAGTGAAAAATAATGAACCTGTTAAATCAGAATGGTTCTCTTTGACCCATTCTGGTCTACTGTGTAAATATTTATTTAGACTATTTTGATAATACATATTATTTACCCCACTGTAACATCCTGTAAACTAAATGTGTTTTTAAGCAATTTGTAAGACTTGTAATTACCCTAAAAAAATATGGTTTATTAAGCAAAGACCAGACTCTTCATCAGGGCAGCACTCCTGGGCTTCCTGCAGTCTCATGACTCAGCCACTATGGTCCTCTTCCTCCCGACTCTTGCTCCACAGAAGGAAGCCCTCCGAGTGGAATTCCACTTCAGAGCCTTTGCATTTGGGGTAGGATTGGTTTGCATTTGATGAGGGAGGTGTTGGGTGTACAGGAAAGGGATACCACCTCCTGGGCAGGGTAACATCCCATTCAGGGGTCACTTCATCTGCAAAGGAAACAGCCTGCTTATTTTGGAAGTCTTAAAACTGTTTTGCTTTGTTTCTTTTTTGAGACAGGGTCTTTCCACTTAGCCCAGGCTGGCCTTGAACCACACACCCCTACCCCCACTCTCCACACTCCATGCTGGGATTACAGGCATGGGTAAACTCTTAAACAATTGGTGATGCTTCCCTAAGCAAAGCAGGGGCCTGGGCAGTAAACATTCTATGTCAACAATCTGCCAGTTCTAAGAAAAAACTGCAGACCAATCTATCTTGAGTGATAACTCTTATAAATGCAAATTATTAACGTGGTGTCACCAGCCAGGTACACATTGTCTGCAATAAATGTAATGCGAGCCACATCTGTAATTTAAACTTTCCTAATAATCACTTTTTAAAAAGAGGTTTCAGTGTGTAACCCTAACTGCTTATTCCTTAGATCAACCAGACTCACAGAGTGCTCCTGAGTGCAGGGATTAAATGCGTGCCACTGTCCCCATCTGAACACATCTTGTAAACATTCTTTAAAGTATGTGGTATTGATTTTAATATATTTACCAAAAGTACTATTACTTTGATATGAAATCATTGAATTTTTTAATTTATGAAATCCTATGTGTATTAAACACGTTTTAGTTCAGACTAGCCACTTCAGGTCTCAGTGGCCAAATGTGGCTAGTGACTGTCATACTGGAGAGTGCAGCCCTGTCATCATTCCTTAACGCACAGAACTGCAGCCAGTTCATCTCACTCCCAGCACTTGGGGTGATTATCTAGTTGTCATTCCTGGGTCATCTTTTCTAAAACAATGCTGTTATGGAACACAGGGCCTATGGTAAGCAAACACTGAGCTCATCCCACACAGCCCAGGCTGACTTGGAGCTGCTCGTCTTCATGTTGTCTGTTCCAGCGTTGAGACTGCAGCAGACATGCCTTGCCCCAGGCCTCTAGTTTTTCACCCTTTTCTCATAATGACTACCCCCGCCTAAAGCCAGACCATACTAGTGCAGAACTAAAACTGAGGGTGGTTTCTGGGGGGCCTCTTCAGTCCACCTCCTTCCTTGATGGGGTTTGTAATAGACCCCTGAAACAGAACTTAATCTCAGACTTGGCTTTGTTGTTGTGTTCTTTAAGAGGAGTTTCTCTGATGGCATCATGGCTCCTGCCCTTTCCACATTCAGTGGAAACTTCCTGCTTGAACTGACCATGAAAGCAGCCCTCCAAGTCCATCATTTACAGATCAAAAATGGCCTGGAGCCCTTCCTGACCACTGAACATGGGGGTTAGGCTGAGATTAAACCCCTGTCTTAGTTACACAAAAGAAAACTATTTTTGTTCCTTCTTTATTTTTTATTTCGTGTGTTTGTGCGTGTGTAATAGGGTTTTACCATATAGCCCGGGCTGGCCTCAAAGTCTTGCCTCAACCTTCCAGTGCTGAAATTACAGTCTTGTGCAACCTGCCACACTTGGCAAGAGAAATCTGTGAACCTTTTGTCTGGCCCTCAGGAGACTGACTGAGATGGATTGGGGAGTTCTCCCAGCTGCATGCATACCATCCCATGCACCTGAGCCCCCAGAATGCCCACTGTGCACACAGAGGCCCTTCTCCCCAGTACCAAGTCCTTCCAGCATGCGGTTGTGTTGGCTCAGCTGCTGGGGACTATAGCCTGTCTCCTCCTCACTTTAGTCCCTGGGCAGTGCTTGCTTAATGCTCTCCTGGAATCCCAAGGGCCTGAGGCCTTAGGCTCCTGTTAAGGTCTCTGCCCCAGGCATGGTGCTCAATATCTTGGCCAAATAAGTTACTTTCCTTGAATATCCAGGAATTTTTAACTAAAGCAATGGGGACTTATCACCTTACCCTGGAACTCCATTATAACTGCCTTAGTGTCGTCTGCTTTGATATAAAACCCAGAGTGTCTGGAGCGAGAGGCTGCAGTTCTCCATATACACAGTAGGCCTTTGCCTTCACTCAATAGTCCTGACTTAGGCTTGTGTAGATGGATCATGAGATTGAGGCTTGTGTAGATGGATCATGAGATTTGTCCTGAGGAAGAGACTGCAAAGACGTGAAATTTTTTAGTCCTAAATGCTGTTTTGTTTACTTTGTCAAGAGAATATTTACCCCTGTCAAATTCAAACTATAGTACTGTGTAATTATGTATAAAGGTTTTTTTATTTATTTGAAATTAGATTAGATATACATTTTTAAATTTGACATCTGGCTGGACAGTGTTCTATTAACTCATTGAATGTGTTTCCTTTGTCTTGTGTTAATAAATATTGATGCTTGATTGTGTTTAATTCTTCATGCACTGGGTGGGGCGTGTGTGTGTGTGTGTGTGTGTGTGTGTGTGTGTGTGTGTGGTGTTGGGATGGAACCCCAGGTCTCCTGGAGGGTCAGTAGTCCCTCTAGCACTCAGCCACACCCCCTTTCTGGGACCTACAGTACATGGCTTCAGACAGTAAGATGGGAAGGTCACAGCTTGGTTCAAGGAGTGAGTGAGCCCCAGAGCTGTGCAGTTGGAGGAGGCTGGGTCAAGGGACAGCAGTGTCAGTTTGCAAACCAAGAAAGCAGATGTCAGAAATTTTCTTCTTTAACCTTGGGAATCTTTCTCCAAATTTCATTGCTTTTGAAAAATAATTGGGTTTCTTTCTCTTCTTTTTTTCTTGGTTTTTCATGACAGGGTTTCTTTGTGTAACAGCTCTGGCTGTCCTGAAACTCACTTTTTATAACAGACTGGCCTTGAATTCACAGGGATGCACCTACCTCTGCCTCCTGAGTGCTAGGACTAAAGGCAAGCACCAGCACCACCACTACTCAGCTTGGGGTTTTTTTCTTTTACTGGTTCTTTTCTTTGTATAAGTGTATTGCTTGATATATGTATGTATATTGAATGCATGCCTGAAGAGGCCAAAAGGCACTGAATCCCATGGAACTGGAGTTACAGATGTTCATGAGCCACCATGTGGGTACTGGGAACCAAACCTGAGTCCTCTGCAAGAGCAAATGTTCTTAACTGACAAGCTGTCTCCAGCCCCTTGCTTTTTTTCCCCCTCAATGTTATTACATTTGTATTATCTTGTTGGGCGTGAGGGGCACATGCTATGATACCCTTGTGGATTCCATGGACAACTTTCAGGAGTTAGTTCTCTTTGTACCATGGGGTTCTAGCGATCCAACACAGGTCCTCAGACTTGGCTGCAAGCAGCTTTAACCACTTGGCCCAGATGTCAGGATTTCTCAAGAGTAAAATGTTCAGTTTCTTCCCTCTAAGCCTGTAGCATGTGTGGTTTTAAGACCTGGTTTGCAGGCAGTGTCTTCTGCCTTGAGCTGTGAGTTCCAGCCTTTCTGGATGTGAGGATTCATTTGTTCTAGCATTTCCTGGTCTCAGGAAACCTGAAGGGGGCCCTTCAAATTGTTCACAGACATTGCAGCTCTTCTTTGCAGTGTAGACCAAGCTATTTTGGCATTGAGGACCCTCCTCCCCAGTTTAACAGACAGTTATCAAGTGCTGCCCACCCAAGCACAGACATTGTCCTCAGAGTTATGAAGTTTGTGCCTTCAGGGAGATGCAGACACAGACAAGGACAGAAGGACCAGCTGGAGGACATCATCTGAACTGAGGTTAGATTTATGCTTTTTCATGTAGCACAGACTAACCTCAAAACACAACATGATCCTACTGCCTCAGCCTCTGGAGTTCTGGGATTAGAGATGAGAGTTACCATGTCTGACCTAAAAGATGACACAGGTAAGATAAAAACAGGTAGGAAAAGTGAGTGTGGTGATGCTCACTTAACAATCCCAGCACCAGGGAAGCAGAAGCAGGAGGATCGGAGTTCAAGTTTGTCCTCTGCTACATACCCAGTTCAAAGCCAGCCTGCTGCACTACAGGAGACCCTGTCTCCACGTTACATATTTTGAGAACCGAGTCATTAGAATTGCTATGATGTGGATATGTGAACCTTTAAATTGTATCTGTTCTGATCATCTCAGAATCGTCACATGAACACACGCTGCTTCTGAGTGTCAACTGAACTTTGGAGGACTCAGTCAATAAGGTCCTGAGGCTGTGTTCCTTCAGAAGATTTACCAGCCTTGGCAGCCAGGTGACAATGGCTTTTCTTCTTTACCCCGCAAGGGCCAGTGATGTGTTCATGTAAATAGATTTACCTGTTCTGGATGAGGGGATTTGACTCTTTTGTCCTCAGAACTTTAGTCATGGCACCTGGGAGCTTCTGCAGGCATGAAATACTTAATTTGAAACCACAGTAGTTGTCTTCCATTTAGTGGCATTAGTGGAGCCAAAGAGAAAGCTACTAAGATTACAGTGTGAGAGAGGATGAAGGCTTGCAGTATAGAAAAGAGGGAGACATGGGGCTGGAGAGATGGCTCACAGGATCAGAGCACTGGCTGTTCTTCCAGAGGACCAGGGTTACATTCCCAGCACCCACATGGCAGCTCACAACTACCTGTAACTCTTTTCAGGGGGATCTGGTATTCTCAAACATGCACATAAAATTTTTAAAAAGGGGGTGGGGAGTTAGTAACAAATTGTTCCCCCTATATACATCCCCAACCAAAGTTAGCTAGCTTCAACAGAAAGGAGCTACTCAAGCTGGGCATGGTAGCACATGGCTTTTATACACTGTCACCTGGAAGGCTAAAGCCAGACAGTCACCTGAGACCAGGAGTTCAAGGCTAGCCTGGGTAACATAGTGAAACCTATATACTAAAAGGCCAAGAGTGGTAGTGATGGCAGTGGGGACAGTTGAGGGCAGTGTATGAAATGTCAGTTGTGGCAAGTGTGTTTAAAGTAGGTTCCTAGTGTGACTTTACAGGGTCAATGGCAGGTAGGAGATACTCAAAAGTCCCTTCCTTAAAATCTATCTTGTTGCCTGGTGGTGGTAGCGCATGTCTTTAGTCCCAGCACTTGGGAGGCAGAGGCAGGCTGATCTCTGAGTTCGAGGCCAGCCTGGTCTACAAGAGCTAGTTCCAGGACAGCCTCCAAAGCCACAGAGAAACCCTGTACCGAAAAACAAAAAAAGTTATTTTTTCTAGTTGTGGGGAGGGGGGGCTACGTGCATGCAAGCACAGATACTTGTGGAGGCCAAGAATGTGGTTCCCCGGGTTGGAGTTACAGGGGCTGTAAGCCACCTTAGGTGGGTGCTGAGAACCAAACTGAGCCTCTGTGAGAGCAGTGCAAGCTCTAAACCATCTTTCAAGCACAACTCGGGTGAGAATGAGCAGATTTTACATGTGTTACTCTGATTTCACTACTAACTAGGAACGACCAGGGGTTGGGCAAACAGGCACTTCACAAGATGGGAAGGCCACCTAACAGAGAAAAACACTTCCTGCTTGTACACAAGAGTGGGTGTAGCCGGGCGGTGGTGGTACACGCCTTTAATCCCAGTACTCAGGAGGCTGAGGCAGGTGGATCTCTGTGAGTTCGAGACCAGTCTACAAGAACGAGTTCCATGACAGCCTCCAAAGCCACAAAGAAACCCTGTCTCGAAAAGCAAAACAAAACAAAAAAAGTGGGAGGAGACAGCTCTGCTATTCAGAGAACTTACTCTTGCAGAACTATTCCTAGCCCCCAGCGTTCAAGCAGTGTACAGATAGGTACTATGTTCATCCAATTTAAGAGTTGGGGAGGAAAAATCTGTGCTTCATCATATCCCATTTTAATGGCACAAAGCTTTTTACTTTATTTACCTACTTTTGTTTTTTCGAGACAGGGTTCCTCCTCTGTAGCTTTGCCTGTCCTGGAACTCACTCTGTAGTCCAGGCTGGCCTGGAACTCACAGAGATCCGCCTGCCTCTGCCTCCCTAGGGCTGGGATTAAAGGCGTCCGCCACCAACGCCCGGCCTCTAAGACGGCTTCTTAAGAGGACAAGTTTAAACTTTTTGCTAGAGAACCAAGCCCAGGCCCTCATCCATACTAGCTAGGTGCTCTACTACTGATCTTCCCAGGGTTAACGTTCCGAACCTTTGGTCCCTCTGCCTCCACTTCCACCCAGCTCCTAGGATGCTATCCCGAGGCCAGGCACTGAAAAAAAATCAAATAAAAGCTTCCCACGTCCCTTCGCTTAGCAGCGTGTTGGTCAAGGTCAGGGACCTGAACGCCGCCAGAACGCTTAGGGCAAGCCGCTGAGCTCCAGGGGGAGGGCAGCCGAATAGCACCAGGCGGAAAGCACTCGGAAACCCGAGTGAGCAAACCCAACCCGCGCGCTCGCTCCCGAGGCCCGCCAAGATGGCGGCGTGCCACGTGAGCACGTGATGACGCAGCACGTCGGCCGCGCAGGCCCCGCCCCCACTCCCTCCCCAGCCCCCGGCCTGCCCGCCGATCATGCCGCCAGAGACGCCCCTCGCGGCTGGGAAACGGTAACCCGGGACGGTTGGCTCTCGTTACACCGCTTCTCTCCGCCCCGCCGACCCCAGGGAGAAGCGTCACCCGGCAGCCGTCTGCGGCTGGGACTCGAAGAGAGAAATCGGCGCCGCCTGGGACGGGGGGAGTGGAAGTTCCCGCCCCGGGCAGCGGCCAGGCGACTCCGCAGGTAAGTGGGGGCGGCGGGGAGCGGGGCGGCCCGAACGGGAGCGCGGTGACGGCGGGGAGGGACGCGATGGCGGCCACGCGCTGGCCGGGGGGTCGCGCGCGGCTGGCCGGTGGGGGAGGGGCGCGGGGGTGGGACCGGCCGCGCGCTTCCGGCCGCGCGCCTCCCGACCGAGAGCCGCACGGGCGTTGGGCTCGCTGGAAATAGAGCCGCGAGATCCGTCGAGCTCTCGACCGGGCGTGTAGGCGGGAGGAAAGCCGCGGAAGGTCCGCACCAGACTGCAGGCACCGCGTCCTCAGGCTCCCCCCTTACCCCCCTGCTTGGACCACAGGGACCCGAGGCCACTGGCCTGGCGGCGGGACGCGGTGCTTTGCCTTTCTTCCGGGTGTCTCCCAGCTGGCCACTTCAGTTGTAGTAGAAAAGTCAGCGTCTGGGTAGTTGCTCTTTTTGAGGCTGGATTTGTTAAGTAGAGTTACTGATGCAGCGTTTCTACACGTGTTCTTCTTTATGGTAGCGGGTTTTTTGTTTGTTTGCTTTTCGAGACAGGGTTTCTCTGTACCTTTGGAACCTGTCCTGGAACTCGCTCTATAGTCCAGGTTGGCCTCGAACTCCCAGAGATCTGCCTGCCCCTCGGGAGGCAGAGGCAGGTGAATCTCTGAATTTGAAACCAGAACGAGTTCCATGACAGGGCTACTCAAAGAGAAACCCCATCTGAGGCAGGGGATGAGGACAACGAACAAAAAGATCTGTTTATTACGAGGTATGTTGCAGATGTCTTATATCCCGCTACTACCTTTCTTAAGGTTACATTCACCACCTGCTTGCAGGTGCCTGAAGAGGCCAGAGGGTCAGATCTGAAGTGCAATTAGAGGCTTTTGTGGGTGTTAAGCATTGCGGCGGCTCCAATCAGAGGAACAGGGATTCTGACACTCAGGAGCCAAAGAATACTGAGTGTTAGAAGAGGTCGGATGGAAAAGTATTCTGGCAATCAGGAGCCAAAGAATACCACAGGTCAAGCCGGGTGTTGGTGGCGCATGCCTTTAATCTCTGTGAGTTCGAGGCCAGCCTGGTTTACAAGAGCTAGTTCTAGGACAGCTTCCAAAGCGAGAAACTGTCTCGAAAAGCCAAAACAAACAAACAAACAAACAAAAACCCACAGGTCACAGTAAATGTAGCAGCTTACACCCAAGCTCCAAGGAAAGGCTCTGCTCTGACTTCCTGCGAAAAGTTGTTACTTGTCACCTCCGCTCCTGCTCTGCTCATCCAAACCTCATTCAAGAGGTTTATTGGGAGGGAAGAATCTGGGAGAGTGGCTGCCGTCCACTAGGGTGGCAGAGGACAGCCTGACAGCCACAAGCTCAACAGACACAGACACAGGGCTTTATATAGGGCTTCTTAGCGCACCCTCCCCCCAAAGTTTTTCCAGGATAGGTATGGTGTTTTGGGTTTTATTGTTGTTGTTGCCGTTGTTTTTGATTTTGCTTTTTTTGTTTGTTTTTTACGAGACAGGGTTTCTTTGTATTGTTTTCGAGGCTATCGGTCCAGCCCAGCCTCGAACTCACAGAGATTCGCCTGCCTCTGCCTCCCGAGTGCTGGGATTAAAGGCGTGCGCCACTATTGCCCGGCTGTTTTTTGTTTTGTTTTGTTTTTTTTAGGCAGCAATTCTCTGTGGCTTTGGAGGCTGCCCTAGAACTAGCTCTTGTAGACCAGGCTGGCCTTGAACTCAGAGATCCACCTGCCTCTGCCTTCCAAGTGCTGGGATTAAAGTCATGGGCCACCAATGCCCGGCTCAGCATGGGGATTGGTCAGATTTCAATCTCTGAGCTCAGATTGGCTAGATCTCCTGCTCAGGGATTGGTTGGTTTTCTGAACAGGTTCAGGGTCAAATTTGGCTCTGGTTTCAGGTCCAAAGTGTGTTTCTTTCACTGTTCCTTTTTAGCCTTTTGGCTCTAATTCTTTCACTGGCTCTGATTCCAGGGACAAAGTGTGTTTCATTGGCTGTCCTATTTCCCTACAGTGAGTGCCAGGAACTGGTCCTGTGTCCTATATAAGAGCAGGAAGGTCCCTTAACCGCTGAGCCATCTCTGCAGCCCAGTGTTGGCTCGTTTGTGAAAGGTCTTCATACTGTATTCCCAACTGGTCTTAAATTCTTTGTGATTCAGTTTGGCCTAGAACCCCCATCAGTCCTGCCTTGAAAAGCATTCATTCCCAAGTCTTCAAGGTCCTCTTGACATCTGAGGCCATTTCAGCATATATGTAGTAGGAATCTTCATAAAACTGACCTCACCTGTCTGTGATAAGTTTGTATAGGATTTATATTGGCAAAATACATTCATCCCAGGATTTGGTTGCCAGTAGATGTTTTGTTTAAAATGCTAGCTGCCCCGCTTTACAGTGTGTGCGTACAGTTTTATCTCCATTAGAATGTACCTAAGTGGAAGAGTGTTTGCCTATCATGCTTTATGCTTGCATTCGGAAACAAAACAGGAAACTAGATAAAACTTCAATGTGACAACTCCTAAAGTGTTTGTAGTTCTTGATTGTTTGGTCTACAGTACTGTGATAGTACATAGCACCAGTAGATGGTAGTCAAGTCAAAACAAAACAAAAACCTCTGACATGAGTTTAGTTAGCGGATTTCCAGTTCTCACATAGGATTATGTCTTTAAGTTTTCCTGTGCCTCAGTTATCCTGTTTCAATAGCTGGGGTGGAGTGCCATTATTTCCTCAGTTCTAATTAGATACATCTAAGTGAGCAAGCAGGTGGTTTTTTTTGTTTTGTTTGTTTGTTTGTTTTTGGTTTTTTCAGACAGGGTTTCTCTGTGGCTTTGGAGGCTGTCCTGGAACTCACTTTGTAGACCAGGCTGGTCTCGAACTCACAGAGATCCGCTTGCCTCTGCCTCCCGAGTGCTGGGATTAAAGGCGTGCGCCACCAACGCCCAGCTTAAGCAGGTGGTTTTGTTACAGTGTTAAATGTGAAAACTGCTTTGTAGGGAAGGGATGTGACTTCCTGGGACTTACATTCTGGTGGAGAGACAGAAAAACAGGAATAAGGCCAGCTTGGTCTACATCGAGTTCTAGGACAGTCAAAACTATAGAGAAACCCTGTTTTGAAGGAAGAAGAAAAAAAAGGAAAATCATACTAGGGTATACAGTCAGCTTCCAGACTAGTTTAGGGGAGGTCATCCTGTAGGTTTGCCTGGAAGAAGTCATAGAAGTCCTCAGGAAGAAGGGGAATGAATTTTGTTTGTAGCTAAATGAAAGTCTCAAGGTGAGTGATGGAGATGAGAAGGTAGGCTACCTTAGCACACACTGTTAAAATATTTATTGTATTTGGTATTTGCTGTTGACTCAATGATGTCTCTACCGGCCACTAAGCACGCATTAGCCTAAATTTAAAACTGGGAGAAACAGGCAGGCCCACCCGCAAACCCAGCTCATTGTTAAATAATCTAGAGAGATTGCCAGACAAGGGAACCTTATTAGCACAGATAGGGTAGTGAGAGGGCATGGCTAGAATGGAGGCATGTGAAATAAAGAACAAGGCTTTTGGTTAGAACAGCCCTAGCTTCAGGTCTTTCACATAGTGATGTGAGATCCACAGTAAGTAACAACCCTTGTAAAACAGGGAGGTCCAGGAGATGGTATATGACTTGCTCTTAGGAGCTGGTGGCTGTATTTCCCCTGTAGGGTGCTTGGCAAAAACCATACTATGGCCTCCAGCACCACAAAAACAAAACTCTTATCTTGGAATCTCACTTAGGAAGTCCCTTTCTGCAGAATTTGTTCAAAGCACCTTGCCTTGGGCCAGAGGTGTAGCTTACATAATTAACCTACTCTTGTAGGGTGTGATGGCAAGTTAAGCACAAAGCTCTCTGGGAGGTGGAGACAGGAGGATCAAGAAAGGCCATCTTCTGTCATGTAACAAGTTTGAGGCCAGCCTGGGCTACAAGACCTAGTTCCAGGATAGCCTCCAAAGCCACAGAAAAACCCTGTCTCAAAACCCCTTCCCCCAAAAATGAGTTAAATATTTATTATGTTACAGTGTTCTGCCTGTCTTTATGCTTGCATGCTAGAAGAGGGCACCAGATCTCACTATAGATGGTTGTGAGCCATCATGTGATTGCTGGGACTTAAACTCAGAACCTCTGGAAGAGCAGTCAGTGATCTTCACCTGAGCCATCTCTCCAGCTCCACAAGTAAAGTTTTTAAAGACTGGAGAGATGGCTTGGTATTAAGACCACTGACTGCTCTTTCCACAACCTGGTTTAATTCCCAGGGAATCCTACACATTCTGTCCTTCTGGGACACCAGGCAAACACGTGGCAAGCAAAATACCTATGCTTATAAAATGAAAATTAGAAAGCAGTTGTTGAGAAAGTTAGGTGCTGACTTTCTAGCATTACTGACGTTCAACTGAAGTTTCAGCCTGTGTGTGTGTGTGTATTCATTCTTTTTCAAATCAGACATCTTTTATTCTTGTTCTTTCCCCTTTCTTGCTCCTGTCTCCTCCCCTTCTCTCTCCTCTCTTTCCTTTCCTCATTTTTTTTTTTTTTTTTTTTTTTGGTTTTTACGAGACAGGGTTTCTCTGTATTGTTTTGGAGGCTATCGGTCTAGCCCGGCCTCCCGAGTGCTGGGATTAAAGGCGTGCGCCACCACCGCCCGGCTCCTCCTTTTTTTTATAGTTAATTTAGTTTTTGGTTTTTGGAGACAGGTTTCTCTGTATAGCTTTGGAACCTGTCCTGGAACTCACTGTGTAGATCAGGCTGGCCTCAAATTCACAGAGATCCATCTGCTTGCCTCTGCCTCCCAAGTGCTGGGATTAAAGGCATGCACCACCATTGCCTGGCTTTCCTCCTTATTTTTGGTATGGGGTTTAGACTATATAGCCCTGGCTAAACTGGACCTCTGTGTAGACATAACTATAACCACAAGGCTAGTTTGTCTTTGGGGGTGTTTTGGGTAGTGCCAAGACCTCATGCATACTAGATAAACTCACTCTAGTACTACATGTAACCATAAAGACCTAAAGTCTTTTACCAGTCTTTTTGTTAGTGGTTCTCCTCCCATGTGACATTCAGTCACAATTTATTCTCAGTTTTCTTAGCCTACATATCCTATGAGTTAATATTTAGATCATTTAGTCTTTAGAACAAGACAGAGACACTGACTGACTTTGTTTTTGAGACAGGGTCTCACTATGTGACTCTGGCTGTCTTCAGAGAGAGCCTTTTGCTAAGCTCTGAGATTGAAGTTGAGCACCATCATCTGGTGGTGGCACCTTTAATCCCAGAATTTGGGAGGCAGAGCAGGAGGACCTCTGAGGAAGCCTGCCTGGTCTACAGATTGAGTTCCAGGAGGGCCAGGGATACACAGAGAAACTCTGCCTCAGAAACAAAGCAAAGTTAAACACCAACACACCTTGTTTATCTTTGTTAGTAAATTCTTTTTGAAGCTGTGCATACAGTTAGAGACTTGACCCTTGATTGGAGAAAGACCTTTCCTGTCTAAGACTCGAGTATTTATAAACATTCTGGTGTTTCAGAATTTTTAAATGTGAAGAATACTCTAAACTGTAGCCACTCACTGATTCACTTCTATAGGGCAACTAACTGACCAAACATCATGTGACTGCAGTAGTTTGCTATTTCTGTAGCATTTTAATGGATTTTTTTTAATCTCCTCCCCCAGCTGATTATGGAAGATTCCCATAAGAGTAATACTCCAGAGACTGCACCTCAGCCTGGCTCAACAGTTCAGGGGACTCATATTTCTCAGATAGTCCATCAGGTAAGTTAAGAACAGAGTACTTACCGAGCTGGTCAGTAGTGTTCACAAATTAACCCGTAGTCTTACTACCAATGTTCAGAAAACCCAGCACAGAGAGACTTTGAATTGATGCTGTTAAGCAGGGAGAGGGAGAGGCAGATGTACCTTTTAGAAAGCCCCCCCCCTTTTTTTTTTTTACATTTTTTGGGGAAAGTGCAGGCTGACCAAAAAATCACTATATAGACCAGGCTGGCCTCAAACTCACAGCGATCTTATCTTCCCTTCTCTCTCTGTGCTAGAATTAAAGGTGTGCATCATTGTGCCTAACCTAGCCTGGAATTCTTGATCATCCTTTTCTAGCCTAGTACCAGAGCACTAACATGGTACTGGAATAATAGGCACATGCCCAGCTTGACCGTCCTCATTTCAGCATGTTCATTGTGGTTATATTGAAATCTTTCATGACAAGCATAATCATTAGGGAATTTAGCTTAATTGACTAGCATGTATATTCAGTGTAGAAATGTCAACTTAGGATTTATGAATAATAATTTTAATATAAATTAAAATCATGACTTCTCCCTAGGGCATAGAAAGCTGAAAAGAGTCTTGTTCCTACCCAAAACAAGAGTGGGTTTGATAATTTACAGGTCACTGGCCTTTGAGACCCACAGAAGTTAAAGGTGGGCTGTCATATAATGGGAGGGAAGGATAAGTCAGCTACCTTTTGGTGTTTTGTTTGCTTTTGGTGTTTTGTTGAGACAGGGTTTCTCTGTGTAGCTCTGGCTGTCTTGGAGCTTGCTCTGTAGACCAGACTGGCCTTGAATTTAGAGATCCTCCTACCTCTACCTCCCTGATTGCTGGGATTAAAGGTGTGCTAGGAAAGTCAACTACATTTTAAGACAGGGTCTCACGTAGCTCAGGCTAGCCTCAAATTCACTGTGTAGTGAAAAGTGGCCTTGAACTCCAGATCTTTCTGCCTCTGCCTTAAGAGATACCTGCTTGGATTACAGGTATATGTTATTCCTAGCTACCACTTACATTTTAAAGTATTTATTCTTTTATCTTTTGGTGCTGGTATGCACATGCCATGGCACATACAGCTTGGGATAGATATCAGGTATAAACAGTAGAGGGATTACAGAAGAAGGAATTGGATGTTATAATGGAATATAAATAAATTAGGTTGTGTTAGGCTTATTAGACTTAACATGGTTGAAGAGTCAGTGAACTTGAAAATAAACTAATAAAAATCACCCAAATGGAAAGCAGAAGGAAAAGGGAGAAGAGCAGAGCATCCAGGAACTACGTACAACACATATCTGTTTAAGTAGTCACGCTGTAGATGAGTTTACTGAGATGTTAGTGAGTCAGGTTGAGATCGATGGATGTGATTGGGATTCCATTTTTCCTATGGAGACATCCATATTACCAGTCAGCAGTAATGAATTAACTATGTATCAAGTGAGGTATCGTGTGTGTGTGTGTGTGTGTGTGTGTGTGTGTGTGTTTCAAAGAGGGTTTCTCAGTGTGGCCCGGGCTGTCCTGGAACTCACTCTGTAGACCAGGCTGGCCTTGAACTCAAGAGATCCCCAGAGAGCTGTGAGTAAAGGTATGTGCCACTACCACCCAGTGGTATCTTGAATCTTAAAACCAGCTTATATATTGATCAATGGATGTATTTAGAAGACCCCATATTTCCCTAGGAGCCTTGACAAGGAATATTTCAGTGGATGCAGGAATGAAAACATAATTTGAACCAAGAAGCATAAGAAGAGAAGAAAAATGAATAGGCAAATTATAGAATGAATAAGTTTAAAGCGTGCGTGCATGTGTGTGTGCATACCTTCATGAATTCATGTACAATATATGTGCAGGTGCCCCTGAGGAGGCCAGAAGACATTGGGTCCCCTGGAATTGTAGTTACAGGTGATTGTGAGCCCCCCCCAATGTAGATCCTAGAAACTGAAACTAAAGCTTCTGCAAGAACAGTGAACTCTTTCAATCTCTGAGCCATCTCTCTTGCCCTGAGAGTTGTTTTGTTTGTTTTGGTTCCTTGAAACAGGGTTTCTCTGTGTTGCTCTGGCTGTCCTGCAACTCACCCTGTAGACCAGGCTAGCCTCAAACTCACAGAGATCCGCCTCTGCCTTCCAGGTGCTGGGATGAAAGGCCTGTGCCTGCCTCCATGCCTGACCCAAACAAGTATTCTTAACCCCTGAGCTATCTCATCAGCCCTCCTTGGTTTTTTTGTTTGTTCTGTTTCTTTGAGCAGTGTGTCTCTTCATGCCCCTGGTTGTCAATGAAACTCATTAAGACTAGGCCAGCCTCTAATTTTGTTTTTAGGAAGAACTGGGGTCTCTTACTCAGGGAGGCTTTTTTTTTCCCCTCACAATTTTTGTTTTTGTTTTTTGTTTTTCAAGACAGGGTTTCTCTGTGACTTTGGCGTTTTTCTTCATAATTAAAATTTTCTTCGTTGATTGTGTGCTTTTAGTCAGGGTCTCACTGTCCTGCATTCTGGCATACAGACAGACTGGCCTCAATCTGTCCCCAGTGCTAGATTGAAGGCAAGTACCACCACGCCTAGCTCAATCCCTTTTGTAAGTTAAGACTTGCGGTTAATGTAAAGTAGGGTTTGACTATGGTTTTTCTTACACATTATACTTTACTCTCATGGTTCTCTCTCCCAGTGCCCCATGCATGCCTCCCCACCTGGCTGCTTCCCTTTCCCCCAGTCAGCCTCCTCTCTAGCCTTCTTACCCCTCTGTACCATGCTGAAGGTCTCTTCCTGCCCTCTCTAGACTCCCCACACACTCTCTCTCTTTCTGTCTCATTTTTAGTGTGTCTATCTGCTTCTGTCTCTCAAATGTAGTCTCTGCATATGAGAGAAAACAGGTTTATTTTTCTAAGTTAATATTTTTGCTTAATGTATGATTTCTAGTTTCATCCATTTTCCTGTAAAGGTCATGCTTTGATTTCCTTTGTGACTGAATAAAATTTTACAGTATATATATATGCACCACATTTCTTTACTTATTATCTGCTGGTGGGCAGGTGTAGCTGGTTCAGCATCCTACTTGCTGCCAGCAATGCAGCAGTGTGGATGTGATATGTTAACTGAGAGTTCTTCCAGTATACAGCCAAGAATAGAATGGCTAGGTCATATGGTAGTTTTATTTTTAGTTTTTTGAGAAACCTCCACACTGGCTGCATCCGTTTTTATATTGTGTAAGTGGCAGATCTTCTGTTTCTGTGAGGAATGTCACTGACTTCCAGATTGCTTTTGGTAGTATAAAATTTGCACATTGTTAGCTCTGCAGATCCATGGCAGAAGATGTTGTCTTTATCTTTTAAAGTTTACATCGTTCTCCCGAGTTAGAGTCATTCCTAGGTCTTTTATTTATTTATCATTTGAAGCTATTGTGAAATGAGTTGTTTGAAGCTATTGTGAAATGAGTTGTTCTTTCTTTGCATGTTAGTTACTAGTGTATACAGCAGTTACTGATTTTGTGTCAGTTTTGCATTCTGCTACTTTGCAGAAAGTGTGTCTGATGTAAGAGTCTTCTGGTGGAGTTGTTAAGGTCTTTAAGAATAAGATCAGGCCGTAGAGTTGGCTCAGCCAGTAAAAGTTCTTTGCTATTCAAGCCTGATGATTTGGATTTGATGGAAAAGGATAAACTGCCCTGACTACCATCTGAGCCAGAATGCCATCAGACCTCCTGGAACTGGAGCTAATATGGGGTGGGTTGTGAGCTGCAGTGGGTTCTGGGAGCTGAACTGAAGCTTCGTAAGTGTTCTGAACTGCTGAGGGATTTCCCAGCAGCACGGCCTCCTCTTGCTTCCATGGCTTGTGTCTTATGTCTGTGTGAGAGTCTACCACGTATGTACAGGTGCTTTCAGAAGTGCGGCAGGCATGGGGCCCTGAGACTGGAGTTGTAGGCAGCTGTGAGCTGCTCAATGTGGGTGCTGGATAATCAACCCGGGTCCTCTGGGAGAGCAGCCAGTGCTCTTCTGAGCAATATCTCCAGCCTCCTCTTCTTCAATTTTAAAAGATAATTTTGTTGTATATCATAATCTTGGATAATAATCTTGGTTGGCCATTATTTACTTTGAGGGTTTGGCATGTATTATTTCATGGTTTATTGACATAGATGGAAGTCAGAGGAAGCATGGAAGCATTACCTTTTTTTTAAAGTCAAAATTCATGCACAATAATTACAAGGCAGAAAGAAGAACCCTGGCCATGTCATCAGCTTGGGGTACAGCTCTCCGCTACTGCCTGTGCCACCTCGTTCCCAAAGGGGATGGGACTAGCTCCACCTTGCAAGAGAGCTTGTACCTCCTCTTTCATCAAACTCTGCCACTTGGGCCAAACCACCCCTCACAGTTGGTCAGCAGAGCAGTGACAGAATTCTCGCGACAGTTTTTTGTTTTGTTTTTTGAGGTAGGGTTTCTCTGTATTGTTTTGGAGCCCGTTGTGGGACTTGCTCAGTAGACCAGGCTGGTCTCGAAACTCAGAGAGATCCACCTGCCTTTCCCTCCTGAGTGCTGAGATATTAAAGGCATGCACCACCACTACTGTACGGCCTATTTTTGTTGTTTTTTTAAGATTTAATTATTTATTTGTGTATGCAGTATTCTGTCTGCATGTATGCTTGCAGGCTGGAAGAGGGCACCAGATCTCATTTCAGATGGTTGTGAGCCACCATGTGGTTGCTGGGAATTGAACTCAGGACCTCTGTGAGAGCAGCCAGAGCTCTTAACCTCTGAGTCATCTCTCCAGCCCCCAGAATTCCCTCAACAGTTTATGGACTGTGTTTCTGCAGAAACTAATGTAGGTTTTTTTTGTTTTTGTTTTTGTTTTTTTTGTTTTGTTTTTTTTTTTGGGTTTTCGAGACAGGGTTTCTCTGTATTGTCTTGGAGGCTGTCCTGGGACTCGCTCTATAGACTAGGCTGGCCTCAAACTCACAGAGATCCGCCTGCCTCTGCCTCCCGAGTGCTGGGATTAAAGACGTGCGCCACCA